AAGCGAATTGCCATTAATAGCAGAAAACTATAAAAAGGCCCTCGAAATCTTGACTGACAGATTTGGGAAAAAAGAAATCTTAGCGTGCATATGAACGTTCTCCTATCTTTGGTGCCAGTAGGTCGTTCAAGTGATGAATCCAGTTTAAGGAAACTGTATGATGAAATAACGGTTCAAACAAGAAGTTTAGAGACATTAGATATTAATTTTAATTCTTGTGGCCAATCTATTACTTCCTATTGTATATAAGTGTATACCGCAAGATTTAGTATTACAGTTTAGTATGGAGCAAAAGGCCGGCACAGAGTCAACAGTGTCAGATTTATTGTTACTTCTAAAGAGAGAAGTAGAAGCGCGCGAAAAGTCATTAAGTCTGGGTTTTAATAAACATTTAATAAACAAACACTTTCGAAATCAAGCGAAAGAAATACCTACAACTATCGTAAGAGTGTGTCTCCAATTAAAAAGAAAATGGTATCAGCGGCGACGCTTAACATCAGTCGAAAATTATATGTGCGACTTTTGTCTTAAATCTCACCTCTCGAAAGACTGCGACTTAAGTATTTCAGAGAAACACAAAGCGTTATATGATCAATTTAAGGGCAAGCGCTGCTTAAAAAACGGTCGCAAAAAACCGTTTTGTAAGGCGAAGTGGGTTAAATGTAATATTTGCAAATCTATGTCGCATTTAGAGAGCCTGTGTGATGCAAATGTGCAAGAAAATGAATCCATAAAAAATACTGCGCAACAAAAGAGACAAATGTTAGTTCACTATTCCTCGAAACACTCGGCCAGCCAAATACCATGGACCTTATAAGATATAGACTAACCCAGTGGGCGGGGCGCGCGTCACCGACATGTCGGCAAGAAAGAGTAGGGACGATGTGGTTTACTTTAACACTGAAACCTATAGCGTTTGTATCACATAACTCTTTTTAATTATTAAATGTAATACGTTGTATAGTAATGAGATTATGAAAGCCACAGTTTTTTCCAAATAGGATTTAATATATCTCATTAAAGCACTTTTTACTGCATTTCGCGCATTTTTTTCACTCGTAATTCTTGTACAAGCATCTTTACTTTAGTAAAACGATAAAAACTCTAAGCACAAAATTTATGAACTTAATTTTGCGTAAAAATAAAGTAAATTAAATAAGATTGATAGCACGCGATGCTTTGAAATAAATAAGATCTGATTTTTTTTTTTTTTTTTTTTTTTAATTTAATGAACATTTTCAGGCATTGATTTTCCAAACAATAATAACATTACAAAACGATCATATTTATTTGATTATATGATCATTAAATTACTAACATTAAAATGGATTAGTTATTTTAATAATTCATAAAATTCGGAGCATAAAATTTTCTGAGCGTAATGAAGGAAAAAACAAAAAGATAAAATAAAATCTAGAAGCACCCAGATTTTATATTACGCCCAAAAGGAACTTTTTTTTAAAGTTTTGTATGTTACCTATATTTATTGAATATCATGTTCTTCGCCCGTAAACCACATGCATTTGAAAACAGCATAAACAGAATTTCCGCACTGGAGATAAAACTGTTATTTTCTATGCAGTGCTCGCTCTGAACTCTTTGAGTTTGTTAATCAAAAATTCGTTAAAGTTTTACAAAATATGAAATAGATTAAAACAAATTCGAAATTCGGCCGTCCAGATGCCCTAGTTCGGGTGGAGGTTTACGTTATCCAAAATTTGATGGCTCTAGATACTGTCGTTTTTGTCACAGTGAGAGAAACATACATGTATTCATGCAGCTTCTTCATTATTTAATTTCTTTACATATAATACCGGGCGATAAAATTTGGTAACAACAATTTGCAAGGAGACACGGATATTTATAGTAAAACAGCGCAAAATGCCGCTTCGAAACTAACAGCCTTTCTACGCTACCACCCCTTTGGGCTAATAAATTAAATTAACATTAAATAAAAAAAATCTTATGCAGAACTAAAAATAATTTAAAAAATAATCACTATAAAATACAAGCAAATTAATTATTACGGTTTTAAACACAATTTTAATATTAGAATTAAATGTATAAAAATTTTTAAGGAGTCAAAAGTGTTTATCATTATGATGTATTATGAAATATAATTGAAATAAAATTCCTTTATAGAAATTGTGCTATAATACTCATAATTTTAAAAAAGCAGCACAATTTAGAATTTTAAACAAAACTTTCAAAAATTCGGTTTTAAATATTTTAGTATTTTTCACTTATTTACACCAGTAAAAAGCATAAATATTGCAAGAGAAAATTGTTTGTTTGAAATTTTCTATTAGTTCAGATTTAAAATATTATTTTCTAAAAGTAGTTACAAATTTCCTTACAGCATAGGAAAAGCTAAAAAAAATCCAGCCCTGAAAGCATGGAATAGCTTTATAATTATTTGAAACGTTAATTATGCTTGATAAATATGCTAAAGTTTTAAAAATTAATCTCAATTTCAAAAATAAAAATATATAGAAATTCTAATTTGTGAAATGAGTCGCTATACAATCAGCTTTTTCTTGAGATTATACACGCTGCATTAGGGAACCGAAGTTAAATTTCTGCAAGTCGTCCGGTCCCTACTCCTCCGGATGTGATCAAGGTGACAGCCGGCAACGCCTCAGACGAAGGAGAAAACTCGCTTGGGTTAGTCTATTTCTTATAAGGTCCATGGCAAATTCCTAATGACGCGATTTATTATCAAACATTGAGAGGTCAACTGGTAGGAAATAATTCCACATTTAACGTTAGGTTGTTATGCGATTCTGCTTTCGAAAGATCTTATGTTTGTCAGTCTATTTCCAAAAAAGCAAGTTTACCAACTATTAGTAAAGAAAGATTAAGAATTCATACATTTGCATCTTCGAATCCGCCAGTGCGAGAATTGAAAAGGAAAAGACTTTCTTTAAAAAATAAAACCGGGTTCACTCCAATCATCGAAGCACTCGATGTAAAAACCATACGTTCCAATGCATTACCCAGGCCATTTGCAAAAATTATACACAGTTACAAGATTTGACTTACCTGACAGCTGCGAAAGTGAAGTGGCAGAGGTACAGATTTTAATTGGGAATGATTATTTGAACTGCATTTTAACGGAGAAAACACAGCGTTTAACAAACTATTTAGTATTGCACGAAAGCATATTCGGTTGGACGTTGAGTGTAGTAGGGGGAGAGAGGAAGAAGCTAAGTTCAGAGTCAGATTCCACCGGTTTGTTTATACACATCGATTCGGAAGAGGAATTAAAAATATCAGAACAGATGCGTCAGCTTTGGAAGATAGAAAGCTAGGAATATCTGAGTGCGCCTCGGAAAGAAGCGCCGATAAGCGAATAATTAAACAATTTGAAGAGGATTTGAAATATGTAGACGGGAGGTATGAGGCTCGCTTGTTGTGGAATAGGAGTCCAGAGCATTTGGAAAATAATTTTGGTTTAGCGAAAAGGCAGTTCGAAAGCGTGCGGCGAGAGTTAAAAAGTAACAGCTTTGTGAGGGAACAGTTTATGGAAATAATTAAATTTCAGACACAAAACAACATTATTCAAGAGTGTGAGGATACGAGAGAGAGTTACTTTATGCCATTCCGAGGAGCGGTACGTAAATATAAAAAAATCATTCGAGTTCGAATGATATTTAATTGCAGCAGTTGCGAGGGAGGAAAGCTATTGTTAAACGATTGTTTAGAAAAGGGCCCAGACCTAAATCCGAATATTTTGGATATCATTCTTGCTTTTCGAAAATTTAAAATTGGATTCTGCGGTGACATAGAAAAGGCGTTTTTGATGATTGGGATAGCAAGGGAAGATAAGCAATATTTAAAATTTTTTTGGTATCCTGATAATGACAGTGAGGACTTTAAAATTATGCAAATGAACAGAAATTTGGATGTAATTGTTCAATGTTTTTATTGAGTGCAACGATCAAATATCATTTAAAGAAATACACGGAAACAAAGAAAAACTGTGTCGAGATGTTAAATAGCTCACTGTATGCAGACGATTTGTGTTATGGAGGGGAAAGTAGTGTCAGCTTTCAGTCTTTCATCAGAGGCGGTACCTATTTTGAGAGACGCGAATTTCAATTTGAGAAAGCTAAACACTAATTCTAAAGAGTGGTATGACTTGTGGCTTCAGAAAGGGTTGTGTGAAGAAAGTAGGTTTGAGAGAGATAGTAAGTTGAAAGTGTTAGGCTTGGCGTGGAACTTAGAAGAGGATGGTTTGAGAGTAGACGTTACATCATTGTTGAGTAGTTTAGGATCGTTGAGACATAGTAAAAGATTGGTGTTAAGCACAGCAGCAAATAGATAAAGTGGCGCGCTGAAATTGTGGAATTAAACGCGTTGAAAATAGAGAGGTACTACTTTCCAGAAGTAAAGGTCATTCGGTTGAAAATCATATTTTCAGTGATGCATCAGTAGTGGCATATGGAGCGGTGGCATATTTTAGATATAAGAATGAGAAGGAGAAGTATGTACGTCGTTTATAATGTCGAAGAGTAGGATAGCTCCGTTAAAAAAGTTGTCCCTCCTTAGGTTGGAAATGATGGGGGCTGTAGTTGCAGCTAGGTTAGGGAAATATTTATTGAAAATGTTTCAGGATTTGGTAGGTAGGTTAGTTCTGTGGACGGACTCAGAAATTTGCTTGTGGTGGATAAAGGGGTCAGCGCGTGAGTGGAAGCAGTTCGTGTCGAATAGAGTTGCAGAAATACAAGACTGCACTTCGCCTGATAAGTGGAAATATTAGCCAGGGTCGGAAAACCCAGCAGATAAATTAACTCGTGGTGAAAGCAGATGCATTGGTGAAAGATAATAATTGGTGGCATAGTCCATCATGATTGAAAGATTCTGAAGATCAATGGCCTGAGAAGTTTAAAGTAGAAACTGATACTCAAAATTTGGAACGTTTAAGCACTTATGTTCAGGTGACGATTCCAGAAGGAGAAACTGCGTTAAACATTACCAAATTCAGCAGTCTGGAAAAAATGTTGAGAGTTACAGCTTGGGTAAAGCGGTTTGTCGCCAAGCTAAGACAACGTACCTGTGAAGAAGGTCCTCTTACTGTATTGGAGATCCAAGAAGCTGAGGAGTACTGTATAAAACAAGTCCAGAGAGAGAAATATTTTTCGGATACTCAACAGATAGAGAGGAATAAGCTAATAACACCAGATTCGAAGCTTAACAGTTTAGCGCCATATCTGGAGAGTAGAGGTATTTTGCGTGTCAGAGGTCGTTTGGAACAAGCAGAATTAATAGATGACGAAAAACATCCCATTATTCTGCCGAAAACGAAGTTCACCGAACTAGTGATATTTAGTGAACACATAAAAGTATTTCATTCAGGTGTCATGGCAACGTTGTCCAAAGTCAGGAATAAATTTTGGATACCTAAAGGAAAACAAGTAGTAAAGACAGTTATTAACGCTTGTCTGGTGTGTAAAAAGTTCTCAGTGAAGCCCGCCAAACAGTTAACGGGTCAGTTACCAAGAGATCGTGTAGTCCAAAGCAATCCTTTCACAGTTGTAGGCACTGACTTAACGGGAGCAGTTACTATTAGAGAAAAAGCAGATATCCACAAAAAGGTGTACATAGCCTTATTTACATGCGCCGTTACTCATGCTGTACACATTGAAGTGGTCTCAAACATGTCAGCAAAAAGTTTCATTTTTTTCATTACGACTTATTAGCAAGAAGAGAGAGCTGCAAAGTGATTTATTCAGGTAATGCCAAGAATTTCCGCAGCACATGTGAAATACTTAAGGGATTTCAAAGAATCAGAGCAGAGCCAAGTGTAAGAGATTTCTTGACATCCAAAGAGATAACATGGAAATTCATACCTGAGCGTTCCCCATGGCGGGGAGGGTTCTGGGAGCGTCTGATGAGAAGCATCAAGGAACCTCTGAAGAAAATCTTAGGGAGAGCATTGCTGACTTTCGAAAAGCTCTCTACAATATTAACTGAACTCAAGTGTGTGTTAAATAATAGACCTTTAACATACGAGAGCAACGAGCTGGGTGAAACTCCGCTCCCACCTTCGCAGTTTTTATTGCCAGGACGTGATACATTTAACTTTCCCGAGCATTTTTTGGAAATTTTTAACAAGGTGTCCGACAAAGAGACTTTAACTAGGAGGAAGCGTTACCAATCTAGGCTCTTAAAATTAACATGGATGAAGTGGAAAGAGCAATATTTACTCCATCTTAGAAATGCACATAACTTCGCTAATCCTAAAACTGAGCGGAACCTTAAGACTGGAGACGTTGTGTTGATAGAAGGCCCAAAACAATCCAAACTACTTTGGGACATGGGCGTAACTGAAAACGTGATTATAAGAAGAGATGGATATGTTCCAGCGTGCCTCGTTTGCACGCCTAAAGGACAACTCAGAAGATCGATCCAAATGTTATATCCTTTAATTTAATTTAGAACTTTTGATATTATTGAGTTTTTATTATTATATTACTAATTATTATGTTCATTTGTGGCTTTGATATGTACTAGTATAGATTATTCTTTTATATTATTCATTTATATATGTCGCACTGTTTAGTATTAATCCATTATTAATTAATGTTGATATTGTTATGTAGGTAAGTTTGTGTACTCTTATTAAAGAGTAAAGGTGGGGAGTGATGTAGAAAAAGAGATAGAGGGCGCTGCCCCGCCCGTGTGTTTAGCTAATTAAGAGTTTTCAGCAGAGAGAGTTGAGAGATTGATGAGAGTGGTAGGAACTAGATATCCTGTAATCTGTATATAATACTTGTACATAGTCTTCTCTTCATTAAATAGATTTAGTTAAAGAAAAGTGTCATTGTTTGGCCAATAAAACCACAAGAACCACCGATAATAGAAGATTAAGTAAGTTATTACAACATAAGACAGCGCATTTAGCATGGTGCCAAGAACATGCACCTTGGAGCAGACTTCAGCAAAGCACTGTGCTTTTTACAGATAAGTCGAGGTTCAGCTTGGATACTGATTCTTAGCGTGCACGTATTTGGAGAGAACCTGGAACACAATATAAGTCCTCCTTTATCAGGGAAAGGGATCATTACGGTATGGACATGTAATGGTTAATGCGCGTATAGTAATTTGTATTTTCAGTTGTATCGTTTCCGTGATATGTAAGTAATGTGAGGATAAAGATTTAGTAACATAAGTGAAGAATATGTCTTAAAGAAAGTAGGTTAAGCTAACACTTGGCTGTTTTAATATTTTTCCTTTAGAACACAGTAAAAATGTTAATGGCTTATTGGTAGATTAAACAAATTTTAGTATTCAAATACTTTATTGTGAAAGCTGCAATAGTAAAAGTACATATAAAAAGGTAAAACAATAAACATTTTTTTTAATGAGGCGTGTTATGCTTTTCCTCGACTAGAACGTTCAGGTCTACAAAAAAAGATGACAATTTTATTCTTAAATCTAGTTCACATCTAATTGGTTTCTGCACTTTTTTAGAACATCTAAGTATCGAGAAGGCTGTTCATATTTGTAACTTGTAACAAAAGGCATTAGAAACTTAACTGCAATTTGTGCCAAAAATTACACCCAAATTTTATACTCGATACAAGAGAACCCAAAAATCTATCAATGGTTTATTTGTTGAAGCTGTTTTCAAACGCTGTATTACAAGACATTTCAGTTATGGGTTCAATATCTGAATCCAATAAATTATGTCTCTAACTCTACGTTCTCTAATGTCTATTAATTGTGAAAGGCTTCCTTATCCATGCTTTGTTGCTATGAATTGGAAGAAAATATTCTTTCAGATTTGTAGATTTGTTTGCAATCCTTTGAGATTTTTCTTGTTAGCAAATGAAATTTTATCAAGGCATGGAACTAATATTATATGTTTCTTGCCCTTGAGTTAGCTTCATAAAAGCACTGAAATTTCCAGCTTCCACTTAAAGGATCCAGAAACTAAGCTTTTTCATTGCAGCTTCCACCTATTCTTTTGCATTTTAAAACAGTTGCATTATTGCTTTGTAGCAAAAGATTTAAATTATTTAAAAAATAAAAATGTCAGAAAGGTAAGATAACTTCATCAAGCAATTAACATCACTAAAGATATCTTTAAATTAAAATATTATATCTTCGGCCACTGGGATGGATATAAAAGTTTAAAAAAAAATTAAAAATTGTTCTCCCATTTCCAAATTTCAATTTAAAACATTCCATCTGGATGACCATCGTACTTCCCAATATAAAAGAAGGTTTTTCATGTTCCTTCTGACATAACACACTGAATAACATGGAATTTAAGGGATGTTTTATAAAATCCATAAACTTCATACTATCTTGCATAGCAGTTTGCAAAAACATTATTAGTTCTTTTATGGCCAAGACTTCCCTGTGCATGTGCAATGCAAACTCACATTCTGGTGCCATAGCCTTTATTTTTGGACGAAGCACAACCCCCGCCACTGCAGAAGCACTATCGCTGCTCCGTCCTAGGTAGTTTTTTTCTAATCAATGTCATTTTGATTAATATAAATATCAACAAAACTAAAAAAATTTCTTCTACTGTTGTTTTTATGTTCATTGGTTTACAAAACAAAAATTCTTTATTAGACGTATTCTCAAAATTCTATCTTACAAAGCACATTAAATTGGCATTGTCAAATATGTGTGCACTTTTACCAACTTGAAAACAAATTAACTGTTTTAATCCTTTAACTGTCATAACGAGCTATACTCACATTTCAGTTACACTTCACAGTGGGCACAAACAAACACAGCTCGCATTACAAATTTACAACTGACAGGTATCATGCATATTTGGAGACAAAGAATTGCTTAATCTCGTACCCACTGAAGGGTTAAGGAAAGGGTTTCTTCAATATTATCTGGTACTTCCATGATTCTACATTGCATTGTGTTATTGAAAAAAGGCAACAAATTTATCTGGTTTTGCTGTTTTAATCACATATACGGGAAGCTTACATTTTCATTTCAGAAACTATTAATTTTTTTTAAACTGTATGAGGCTATGCAGTTTGCGCAATTAATACACATATTTCATAATAAGCCATAACGAGATTTTCAAACAAAGTCCCAGAGAAAAATGTCAAGATACATTTTGTTTACTAAATATTCTTTCTTTATATTTGTAAAGAAATTTTTCGGCTTAATTCCAAGTGCGGCTTCAACTTTAGAGGTCTGAATGGAATATGGCAGTGATATCCCACTCTAGTTGAGAGTCGGTGGCATCACTCTCATACAAAAAAATTAGTTGGGTTTGCTGCTGCATTCCAATCAAAACTAATTAAGTTTGGTAGCAGTGCAGATTACATTAAAATAGGTACTGAACTAAGAAATAAATAAATAAAGGATAAGCTTCAGTATCATACATTATCTACAGAGACATTAAATTATTAAATGTCAATGGCATCTACTGACAAAATATGATATAGTCTTATGTCACTGTAATGCATAAGGCAATGGTCTCAAAATCAAACTGCATGTGGGCCAAATGCACAATCTGAAAACTGCTGACAAGACAGATTATTTTAAACAAAATGAAAATTTTTATTAACAAAATTAATATTTTTTAGAAAAATCTTAAATTTTGCCTACTAAATATTTATCAAGACATGCATAAACGATAAGACTTACATTTATTTCAAATAATTTTAATATGTTAAATTAATCATTAAATAACTTACTTTAACATTAACTAATAAACAGATTATGAAAACTTTTCATGTGGAACAAAACTTGAGAGTAAATAATGGCCCATCTTTTGCACTTCTTAAATTCGTCTTCAGTGTATAAATAAAAATATGCAAGTCCATACGTAATTTTCCCCCTTAACTATCACAATTTTTTCCCCCTTACCATAGTTTGACATTCAATGGCATTTCGATTTTGATAAAGCCTGTAGCCTTGAGGAGATATTAGAAATTATCTTCATCGCAGATTATAGATGCTTATCAATCAATTTTTTTATTAATTTTCAGCTGAAAAAAGAAGCTGTTCATATATACAAATGCATTCCCAAACAAACCGATTATTCTTAGCACAAAAATTTGAAACAGAGTGTTTTCATTTTCTGACAAGCACCACTATTAATTAATTAGTTTTGTTCCTAGATTTTTTGGTGCATTATTCACGTTCATTTTTAATGGTAATGAAAATAACGTAAACTTCGAATTCAAATAACTAAAACCATGAAATCTTTGCAACACTGTATTTGCAACCAATGCAAACTTAAATGTATTTGTGAGCTGCATGCAGTCCACAGGCTGCTAGTTTAAGACTACAAACCTAAGGTTTATAATTTAATTAAGTTTATCTCGTATCCAGCATTTTGCTTTTGTGATCCAGTGATGGGTAAATACCTGGCATTTCAGAAATGCTGCATTAGACAACATGCATTAGAGCACGTTGAAAAATTACTTTTGTTCTGGATAGCACAAAACATTTATGTACAGTATATATTTCCTACACTGCATTTGTATTTTGGTATTAAAGTGTTATAATAACAACAATAGGATTTTCTATAAAAAATGAATTATTATTTTCCCTTTATTTCTTATCAGAAAGTTAGTTTGGGGTACATCTAAAGATCTGGAATTCATTAATGATGTATATCAAGATACCATTGTATTAATATTTTTTGTCATTTCCACTAGACACTCAGGTTAGGCTATTACTTAGCTCTCTAAAATGGATATCATCAAATAGGATAGGAAGGACTATCACAGATAGCATTACAAATGAATACCTCATTAGAACTAGATAATTATATAAAATATTACATATTGGATAAAATAGAAAAGAACATCACTATTCTAGATTCTCAGCCACAGTTGAAGACAATGATATCAAGAAAGCAAGTGATGTTATTACCAAAATAATTATCAGTTGATCAATCGCTGAAAATCAACATCTCGCAATGAAACGGCATTTCCTAATTTATTGCAAGACTGTTGACTTCTTACAGTATGTCAGCAAATGTATTAATAAATTTCGATGAATCACACAAACACTGCAGGTCTCCTTTATTAGTTAGTACAGGCAAATCAATCATAATCATTGCCAAGAAGCACATTTTTATGCATTTCCAACAAATACATAATTAAAATGTATTTGCAGGCTGCATACTATATACTAGGCCACAAGTAACACTATGCAAAAACTTAAGACTTGGTCTAACGGCAGGAGAATTCATAGAAAAGAAAGACAGTGAAAGTGTAAAATATCCAAATATTTACACCTTTCCACAAGATGTAACCATATTACCAAATGGCAGAGACATGTGTATAGTTATGACTTTAGTTAGTGCTTCTTTACTTGTCACTGCTCCCATATTTTTATCTAGAGACCATAGTAAGAATTTTCAGCTTCATGGTGAGTTTAACACACTCTTAAGAGACTCTGACTAGGTCAACTTAAATTCAACCTATATATTCCGTTTAATTTTTTTTTTTTTTTTTCAATAATTTGAAACCAGATAAGGAAAATATTCACTTTCACAATTCTGAATTGCTATTGTTACATTTTCTCCATCAAAATGAATCTAATTTGATTTTATTATCTGGAAGTATGAAAATTGTATTGTGTGATGTATTATTAAGGTATTAAATTAGAACTGTCTCAAGTGATTTTATAAGATTCCAGCACCATTTTCATCCACTGGTTGAAATAATTACTGCTACAGTTTTAGGTATAAAAAACTGGTGAATTTAATCACACTTTACTGTATATTTTGAAATTTTATGTTTCGCATATTTATGCATTTTAATGAAAAATCTTGCAATTTCACATTCACACTTAAAATAGATTTGCAGGTATAAAGCATAAACTCATGAACAATCAATTTACTATTTAAGCTTGCATACAGTTCTCACACATGCTAAAACCTCTTGAAAATAATACTCTATCTTTCAAAAAGGATAATGAAGAATGTGTCTGTATTTCATAAATAACATAATTTATAATACGAAAAAAAAAATGTTTTATAAACATTTTATTGCAAAATGTTTTAATGGTGATGCATATTTACAATAATGTATGAGATTTGTGGTTCAACTTTTGATTTATTTACAAAAAGTGTTAATCCTCTCAGATAAAATTTGTCATACATGCTGCAAATCTACGATATTAAGAAAAGAATGCATTTTCCTTCCCCCCTTTTCCTTTTCCAAAATGATCTACAACTACTGGACATGCAAATACTATATAAACAAAGTAATAAAAGTTTTGATTTCAGCACCTTGAATATAGACTGTTATTTAATTTCAGGAAACAAACATAGACTATGTGCTTTACATTGGCACAAAATATATTTGCTAAAATTTAAAAACTTAAAACTTTAACTATCTTATCAGTAAAAAATCATATAAAATATGCACCTAACATCAAAACTCAAAATGGTCAAGAAATGATTCAACTTAATTATACTAATAATACTGATTTAAAAAAAAAAGATAAATACAGTTCTAAGTTCTAGTTTAAAATATTTTCTCCTGATTTTCTATAAATCCCAATATAAAAACACAAAAAAGGAAGTTTTATACAAATAACATCATAGAAATAAGTTTTGGACACAACAATTTAATTGTATTATTTTGATTTTGCTTTTTGTTAACTTTGGTAGGTATTCCCTAATAATCATCCAGTAAAAACTAAATGCCCTTTAAATTCAACAAATACAAAAACATTAAAAAAACAGTAACTTGGAATTTTGTTCCAAGCTTAAATTTAACAATACTTTGAATTTCAACATGGACAACTTTACCTCAAAAATAAATACACAAAATACATTCAAAGCAAAAAAAGCAAATTTTTCCACATTTGGAAAATAAGAAAGCTGTAGTTTTAATTTACATATTTCATCTAATATAAAAACCTAAAGATTCGCAGGTAAAATTATTATTAGCAAGAATATTTACATTCTATCCAAAATATCCAACAGGCGAGTACTGTAACTTAAAACATATAAATCATAAATATACAAACGCATATTTTATGAAACTATGCTAATTACAAATGCCAATCATATTCAAAAAGGAATATACTTTAACATAAAAACTATAAAGCTTATAAATAGATTACTAACACAGCAATTAAATATAACTTAGAATTCAAGATTAAAATTGCAGAAATTCATGCAATAGAAAGAAATAGCATAAATTATAACTAAAAATGATACACAGTAAATATCATTTAGAAGGCCATAATTTCTCACCAATTTTAAATACTTAGAATATTAGAATTTTATAACATTTACATATTATAAAACTTCTTATAAATACATAATAATAGATTCATCATAATATTATTTGCATTTCCTTCTTAAAAAAGACTAACATGGCATCTTTTAAATATTTAAACCTTTGAATATGATACATTTTTCTCTGTACAGTAACAATTTAACAAGATGTTAAGGCATTTTACTGTAAAATAGCTTTGATTTTCTTTGCACCAACATGAAAACAGAAAATCCCAACAACCAGATGTTTTTAACTACAATGAAAGCTTCCTCTCTGATGAAACAAAAGTGCTCTATGAAGGAATATATATGCATATGAATACAATGTACGAACAGTTTTTTATCTTTGATCTTATTTTCTCCAGCATTACCGCTTTCGTCGACATGTACGTTTATGCTCCTTGTGCCAGTGAACTTGCTGACATTCGACACTACAGTATGATGTATTCCAGCAGCAATGATATATAGCTTCAGCCTCACAGTTGTAACACTAAAAAACAAATAAATAATAAAAGTGTTTCAATCCATCATTTAATAAAATCAAAAATGCCATTAAAATTCTAAAAATAATTTCCATGTACTATAAATTAGGATGTCTTTCATCCAAAGTCTGGAACCTATGGTCATGTAGATTTTAGAGTTTTGTAGAGTTCAGATCATAAAAAAGAACAGTCATTAGATTTAGTTTGAAAAAAATAAAAAAGGGGAAGGGGAGTAAATAAAGATAAATTTTAAAAAGAAAGCACATAAAACAAATTTCCTTTTTAAGTTTTTATAGAGAAATATATGTTAAACAAATTTTTATTTTATATGTAAATAAAGTGAAAAATTGTATAATATTTTTTAAAAATCAGTTTACAGCAGTTTGGTTCCAAATTTTATGATATCACAATCTATTGATTTCGAGGGATCTATTATAGTTCACATCTTTTGGATATAACTGCAGCTTTCCATTTGTTGCAGATTTCTTTACTCTTGATGAAGTGGGACCTGTACCTGTTTGCCCTCGAAATCAATAGAACCTTGACTAAAATTTATGCAAAACACAAAGTTGTTGCTTTATCTGATTTGATGACATCTGAGTTCCCATCCCTTTCAATTATTCATCCAGTACTTCCTGAACAGTAACACTGTTTTGTTATTCTAGATCAGAGATGAGCAAAAGCTAGCCTGCGGGCCAAATGCAACCCATCTAAATGCTTAATCCAGGCTGTAATAAAATCTTGTGCAACGATATTTTATCTTTTTCCTACCCAATTTCAATCGCAGACTACCGAACTCAGCAGTATGAGTTTGGGTTTATTGTTACAGTGTGTATATGTGTATATATATGCATGACTATACTAGCCAACAACTTAAGATGAGTACATTACATATGCTAGAAAATATGTGCATACACCAAAGAAATAAAGTCCTATAATTTCTAGCAGCTTTAATTTAAAAATTGAACAACAACATATCAATACTGTTGAGATAAAATGAATGATCAGAAAAGGGGGCTTAGGGAAACACTTCTAAATTCTTTTTTGAAAATGAAACAATGTACATATCAGTCATTTGATGACCAATGAGAACAGATCACATTTCTGGCATATTCATAATTTTTAAAATTCTAATTGTATTTTTTTATTAAATTTCTATTCGGGAGAAGGTGTTCTCTTCCTTCTCGTCACATCCTGCAAATAATATGAACATTGTTGGGGATCATCTTTGTCCTGCCCAAATGATGGATGCAGTAAAAAAGACTTTTTTGGCAAAGTGTTAAAAGTATTTGCCCAACTCTGTTGTAGATTCATTTTGTTTTCACTAATATTCCCAAGAAAATCATAAGGTTTTTTCTTAGAACTTGCCACTCAGATATGATAAAAAAGTACTTTTTTTTTACCTCTCTCTCTGGTATTTTTTCAATAACACACTTGAAATCAAAAATACATGTTGGTGTGAAATATAATCTGATATAATAATGACAGCTTATACAATTCATTCAAGGTATACAGATGCTTAAAAATATCATTATAGTTATATGAACAAAATCTTTCACTACACGTAATTAATTTTCCTGGAAGAATTTAATGACAGACTCTTAATTGCTTCTGCTAAATCAAAATAACCATCCCAATTCTTTCATAAAAATCTTGCACATACACACACACATGCCAAAAGAGTTTTGGGAACAAAATATGTTTGAGTTACAAATCTGATTCAATTCATGGTATGTAAATACTACTTTTCACATGCTTATGCATATTTTGGTTGCTGGTGTGTTAACAGAAGAGTACCAAAATTCCAGTTACTCTGCTGTTGTCAACTGAAACAGCAAGGATTAATCTTTAGTTACAGGTAGAAGTTTAGCTACTATTCGCAAAATATTTGCTGAATTATAAAAGCAATTATCCATACAATATGGCAGTTTGCATTAACATTAAATACAGAAACCTGTCATCAATAATTCCAAAGGTCAATAAATGTCATCTTTCACTATTAAGAGACTGTATGGATATCAGGAATTAGCAGATTTTAGGTAGGTAGGCTTTAAATAAATATTCTGCTATATAAATAAGTTAAAATCTGCATTCACAGAATGACTGTAATCTCAAATATCTATATTATATAGGTCTTCTGTTGATTTTGTTATATGGTAAAATTTAAACATATTATACTATTCACAAGCACAAACCTAACAAAACAATTAGAAATAAAAATACAGAAATAGAACTAAAATCACTAGTGCATATAAAATTTCTTCACCTTCAAAATGGCTAATAAATAACCTTAAAATTGTTGGTTAGGAAACAATCTCAGAATTTTAAAAATGAAACAAAATTCTTTGGCAGCGGTTTCAGAGAAAAGTTCCACGCACATTTGGAAATTCACAAGCATGTGATAATGATTGTTCCCTCAATCGTTTTTTTAATTTACTGACAAAAGTCAAAACTCATACACCAGACACACATTGTAAAAAGAACAACAAAAAGAAAATGTTAAAATTAATTACTGGTCCCCCATTTAGTTTAATCCTCTGGCCTGCGTTTTCAATAAAAGAGCACGAATTTCCCAAAGCTACAATGAGAAAGAAATATTTTCTTGATTTTAATGTCAAAATGCCTCTGGTACTTAATATGTGAATTTGTGTACTTAAACACACTGCCTTAATTTCTTGGACATATTTTAATATTTATGTATGTATGTATACATTCTTAGACATCACAAAAAATATTCTTGGCCGTATATAAATATATATGGCCTTGCCGGTCAGAGGATTAATTCTATCAAATACAAAATGCAGCATTGGAGCAACACTGAATACTACATAGAACTGACAACTTCTTTGTCTGCAAAGGATTAATATGGCAGCTCAAAAACCAGTTTTGACTTTATGCCAGTGTTGATTTTTAGATACATTTTGAAATGCCCATTGCATGCCAGTGTCATACTCGGACTGCATCAATGCTATGCAGGTATCGACCCTATGCAGTGTTAACCATATCGCTATAATAACTATACGAATGTAACAAATGAGAATTAATCTCCTTAGTCATTTTTACATTATTATCAAAATTTCTGTATTATCGTGTCAGTTGTATGGCAGAAACTAGTCTAATAGTAATAAATAGTAATTGTGTCAATTTCAATTCAATGTCATTTTGATTCTATGCAATATAAATCCTATAAATGCAGCCATTTTAATGCACCTTTGGATATGAACTCTAGATCACTGCTTCTTAAACTTTTTTTCATTCCTGACTTCTTTTTATTGTCTCTTTTTATTTCATTTTATTGTCAAATTCTTTTGCAACCCCAGATCAGTCCTGCCAAACGAATAGCAGAATGAAAAGTAACATGTGACATCAGTGATCACTTGATTTTTATAAACTCATTGATGTACCAGCTCACATGACCTATGATGTCATCACAAATTCAGTCACTGTTAGTTCTGTAACTTAGCCTGTAATTTGATTCTTGGTGGTTTTATTACACATATTAGTTTTGAAGAAAATCCTAAAACTATCTTAAAACATGCAAAAGATGAACCCCAGATCAGTCCTGCCAAACGAATAGCAGAATGAAAAGTAACATGTGACATCAGTGATCACTTGATTTTTATAAACTCATTGATGTACCAGCTCACATGACCTATGATGTCATCACAAATTCAGTCACTGTTAGTTCTGTAACTTAGCCTGTAATTTGATTCTTGGTGGTTTTATTACACATATTAGTTTTGAAGAAAACCCTAAAACTATCTTAACATGCAAAAGATGAACAAAGAAAAAATTTCATAGCAGAATTAAACAAACACTTTCTTTCCTTTAAGTAGAGTTGCAACACATGACGGGTAACAGCTAGTATAATATAACATTATACAAGCCTACTCGCACATCACCAAAATAGTAAACAAAGCAATCAAACAAATACATGGAAACACCAATGACTAGTGTTGACAACTGAGTGCATATGCGCTATTGTCACAGGATTGCCAGTTTCCAACTTTCATTTAAGCCTAAATAGGTTATTACATTTTATTATACATTAATTTTAACAGATACATTATTTTAACATACAGACATCTGACATTATATTAAAAAAATTTTAAGCAGCAAAAAGTAGTAGAAGGAAGTGATGGACTAACAAAAATTCACAAAAGCATGCAAGTATAAATTTCAGTAGCACAGGTTTAACAGAAAAATAGCAGATTTGTAACAAATTGCATGATCTGTCAGCACTGATTAAAAATATAGATATTATTCCATAAATAATTTATTTCTTTAGTAAACAATATAGATGTGAAAAGAAGAGGTTCTGGAATTTATTTTAAATATTAGAAAATTAATGAAAAAAATCTCAGAATTTTGTCTTTTAGCCCAAAGGGTGTTCACCCAGCAGGGGTATTAATTTCATTTCGGCAACTTGCATCGCAAACTTTCAATGTTCACTTCACTTTTCAAATTGTTGCCGTCAAATATAATCACCCTGTGAATTAAAGAAATTAAATGATGAAGAATCTGCATAAATGTATGTATGTTTCTCACATTGTAACAAAACAACGGTACCTAGAGCCATCAGATTTTTTAATAATGTAATCCTCCACCAATTACGGGTATCTGGAAGCCCTATTTTGGAACTTACTTTATTATCGATTTCAGATTTTGTAACACTTTAACGAATTTGTGATTAACAAACTCAACGATTTCAAAGCGAGCAATAACAACACTATACGGGGGGAAAAAAACTTTTATCTTTACAGCGCGCGAGATTGTGTATTGGAAATTCTAAAGATACATTCATTTTAAAATTATTTTGCAATACTGCTGTTGAATAGAATTTTATGGTTTAAGTGCAAAGAACATGTTACTTAATAAAAGATGAATAAAGAAAAATTTCATAGCAGAATTAAACAAACACTTTCTTTCCTTTAAGTTGCAACACATGACGGGTAACAGCTAGTATAATATAACATTATACAAGCCTACTCGCACATCACCAAAATAGTAAACAAAGCAATCAAACAAATACATGGAAACACCAATGACTAGTGTTGAAAACTGAGTGCATATGCGCTATTGTCACAGGATTGCCAGTTCCCAACTTTCATTTAAGCCTAAATAGGTTATTACATTTTATTATACATTAATTTTAACAGATAAGGTAATACACAAAACATTAAAAAAAAAAAGCCCCTTTGTGTGTAATGTAAAATCTGAGAACTTTCAGATTTTATTTTATTTAAATTTTTTTATTAGCCCAGAAGGGCTATTAATTTCATTTTCACATTTTTGCGTCATTTCACTTTCTGCACCGATTCACTTTTCAAACTGTTGCCACTAACTATACAGCCCTGCATTATATTTAAAGAAATTAAATATTGAAGAATCTACATAAATGTATGTATGTTTCTCGCATTGTGATAAAACAACGGTACCTAGATCCATTAAATTTTGAATAACATAATCCTCCAGCAAATATGGGCATCTGGCATCCCTAATTTGTAATTTGTTTTGTTATCTATTTCCTATTTTGTCAGACATTAAAGAATTTTTTATTAAGAAACTCCATGATTTCAAAGCGAGAAATGGCAACATTGTACAGGAAAAAAAAAAAAATTATCTCCAGCGTACAAGACTGTGTATTGGAAATTCTAAAGATACGCTCATTTTAAAATTATTTTGCGATATTGCTGTTGAACTAATTTTATGGTTAAGTGCAAAGAACATTATATTTAATAAATAAAGGTAACACACAAAATGTTAAAAAAATGCTTCTTTGGACATAATGTAATATCTGAAAGCTTTCATATTTTTGTTTAATTATTATTAATTTTTTTAATGCATAGCGAATGAAAATTTTGGTAGAATATTAGACATTACCAGACATAAAGCATCTTCAACATTCTTCAGCGTTGAACGGCATAAACTCAACAAAATTCAGCTCTAGCTCTGATTCAAAACTCAGTCAAGGACTTTTGTGGAAACTCAAGATTTAAGTTAGAATCACACAATAATTCTACGAATTTCTTTTTGGTTTCATATGGCAGATGATTAATTTCATCAAAGAACTTACATTAATGTCAATTAATATAAGTTCTTTGATAGTTTCCTTAATATAATTTTAAATTCTAGTACCTGAATTAAATTTTTGTGATCACCATCATCATCATTTAGGAAATGCTGCTAATTACAGTAAAGCACTTGATAGCAATCTGCCTTAAACAAGATATCTTCATGAAGGACTTTATAATGGAAATTGACTTACCATGAAAACCCCAAAGAGCCAACATGTTCACTGGGAACAAAATTTGACACAAACTGTCAGCATTTTCCAGTCATCTTGTATCTTTACTCAGCCACTGAGATGCTTATATGTAAAACTGTCTTTTTATCAAATTGGTTTTAATTTAGCTCAGCAGTTACTGATTTTGCACAATTTTCTTAAATTCATAATTCCTGTCACCTCTGAACTTATATTAGCATAAAATATCATAAATAACTTTTCAGTTATTATTAGCTTAATAAAGGTTACATATGTGCATTTTCTAGTTCCAATAAAGTAGCAAAAAGTAACCAATTGATTTTAATGCAAATAATGCAAATATGGTATTCAAATCATGTTATTATTGCTCATGTAGTACATCTTCATATGAAGCACAGGGTGAAACAGATTGATTCAAGACTACTTAGAACACTTTTTTAATATGACTTGGAGCTTTATTCTGTCACTCTTATAAAGGAAAACTTCTATATGTGTTAAGATTCCTTTTCGATTAGCAGGGATGAACATTACTTCCACCAATTATGGAAGAATAATACATAAAGCCTTAAAATTTATCACAGAGACCATAAAGCACACCATCAACTGTCACCTCATAAATTTTAGTGGGCTTGGAATCTTTAAATATACGAAAAGAAAATGAAGTTTTGAAAGTATCTGAAAAATGTAACAGATACATGATGAATCACTAGATCAATTACTCACCCTGCAATAAATTAATATCCTGTAATACAGTAAATGAGTGGTCTCAAACTGGTGGTCCCTGAAGCAATTTTAGGTTGTCTGTGAATATATTTCAATTATGTACTTGATGCAAATACGATGTTATAAAGATTTCAAGATTTTAGTTGCTTGAACTCTGAACTCCATTATTTTCATTTGCATTAAAAATGAATGTGAATAAAGGATTAGAAAATCTATAAAAAGAGCTGACTAATTTAAAGATCTGAAGATACAGATTTGATTTACTTTCACTGGTACTTGTCAAAAGACAAATAGGCTCTGTTATGAAATTTTGCACTATGAATAGAAAATCTATAAAAAGAGCCAATTAATTTAAGATTTGAAGATACAGATATGATAAAATTCCACTGGTACTTGTCAAAAGACAAATAAGCTCAGTTATGAAATTTTGAATTAAGAATAATCTCTTTGTTTGGAAATACACTTGTATATGTGAACAGCTTTTTATCACAGTTGAAAAATAATAAGAAAATAAACCAACTGACTAATGAAGATCTACGATTCACAATGAAGATAATTTCTAGCAACTTTTCTCCAATGTTATAAACTTTTATCAGAACTGAAACGCTATTTCATGTGAAGTTGTAATAAAAAAATAAATAAGTTTATAATTAAGTACACAAACATATTTTTACTTACATGCCCCCCCCCAAAAAAAACTTAATGAATAAGAGAAAGAAACTAGGTTATCATAAGTAAAAGTAAATTATTTATTGATTAAAAATTAAATTATTACACATATTAAAATTATTTGAAATAAACGTCAACTTGAAAATTTAATATTTAGCTGTCAATACGTTTGAATTACAAAGTGCAACCATTGTGGGCAACAAACTTTAAATTTCAAATAGAAAATAAATATAAACTTTAGTTTTTTTGTGATGTTATTATCATTGTCTATGTATGTTTAGATAAATATTTAGCAAGCCTAATTTAAGACTTCGTTAAAATATTTTTAATTTGTTGATAAAAAATGTTCATTCTGTTAAAAAAAAAAGGGGAGACGAAAGAAAGAAATCTGGCTTGTCAACTGTTTTCAAATTGTGTAATCAGCTTGCACACAGTATGAGTCTGAGAGTACTGAAGCAAACCATTTCATTAAAGCCACTACTGAAAGTGACCAATATTCCTTAGAAAGTAAGAAAAAACACTGGCAAAAATGAACATCTCTCTCTCTAAAATCAAATCTCCAAATCAAAATCACCTAAAATTGTGGATCTTAGAGAGACTTGGTTGGACTTAAACATTAAATACACCCTAGACCCTGATAATAAACCTTTTAATTAAAATAACTGTCAGCCTATAAAATTCTATATTTTTTCTTTCTTTCTATGAATACTTAAGGGAATGAGACCTTCCCAGTTACCTTCAATATATTTTTAAAATATCCTTCAGCAGATAGGCTGCATAACTACTATTGATGGTTCAGCTGAAATGTGTAATATTTAATGCTTTCTATGAAATAAAACAAACATTCCTTCCAAAGAAATTACAACGTCCATCAGAAGTCCAATATTTTTCCTTTTATTTTTTTCAATTCTGATCATAAACTCACTTGCACATTCGCATAAACATCACAGTACATGCTTTTTCAGCTTTTTGGAAGTACTTTCAATACCTACAGGAATTACTCACCACTTCTCACAACCATGGTATCTTATGGCATTACCGCCTACCATCATACACACACTTCCAAACGCTATTCATCTGAAGTTATTATACAGTGCTAATCATTCTTGAATAAATTAAATAAAATATTTAATGCATTGAACATTTAAAACTGTATTGTGAAATTATGTTACAAAAATTTCTTACCCATTGCTTTTTCTTGATTTCTGAAATTTCTAAATTGTGCTGTTCAATTAATTTTCTTATTTCTTGCTGATGAGCTGTCTTCTTTTGTTCTTCCATTTTACGTAGAGCTTCCTTGTGGTCTTGCTGGAGCTTTTCCACAGCTGTTGTTAGATTTTTCTGTTTTTCATTCTCCATTTCAATTCGAAGCTGCATTGAATTAAATGAAAAATCAGAATAAATTAAAACTCTATTTTAACTCACTTACATCCTATTTTTTTATTACTTAAAAATCTAAAAGGCTACAAAATATTCAAATAATAAGAAAGCCATACATTCCTAATTATTAATTAATTAAAACTTTTTTCATATATTCATACTGAAGGTTCATTTTGCCTAAATTCAGCAGAGATTTGATTATTTGATTTAAGGCAAAGCAAACCAGAGTTGCCTGCTTCTTGACAAAAATGCTGTCATAGAGAATGCTCTGCAGGAATTTGGCACACATTCATATTATGTTGCAGAAATACAACAAAACTTACTGCACCTAGAGTCGAAACATAAACTGTGTACCCGTCTGGCATATAGAAATAATTGAAATTAATTTTATTTTTTTCTTATTACTTTTGTTTATAACAAACATTTAAATTAGTTTTCAAATAAGCTTTTTATTCAAGAAATACAGATATCACAAATAAGTATTTATGTATTTGAAGTTAAAAGCACAATGTTAAAAACATCTTTTACTAATCATGCTAATAATGCAAAAACTTATAAAAATTATTAATTTGACTTATATAAATTAGATTCTAAACTGCATCCTTTTGTTGTACATATATCACAACTAAAAAATTGCAAAAATTACTTTTTTGCTATAAATTACATCAATTAATGCATTATATATATATTTATATATTTATTATTATTATTATTAAAATATACTATATTGCTTTTAAATCAGTTAGCACATTAAGTAGTAATGCCCTATTTTACAAAATTAATTAAAAATCTTATGTCATCCATCTGAAATGGCAACATCTCTCAAAAAAACTTTGAATTTTTCAGACAGTAAGAATTACTTGGTAGTACTTGGTCAAATTTAACCGAGAAATTTCAAACTTTCTTTCCCTTTTAAGGTGAATCAGTATCAAAATTCTTATATTAATGAAATCAAGATAAAAGAACCATAAGAAAAAATAATTTTATTTATTTTTATTATGCAATCAGGTCCATTCTTGGAAAATTTCAAGTTCAGAAATGATCCTTTTCCTACAGTTTTGTGAAATTTTACATATTTTCTATTATTTAATTAAAGAATTATAATAGAAAAATGTCTTTAAAAAACATAGCATGATTATGACAACAAATTGTGTAAGTCTTGTTTTATCTTTCAATTTGCATAAAATGGTTAAGCCAACACTCATTTAACAAAATCTTCTTACAGATTACAACAAAATGCTTAGACTCTGACATAAAGTACATAATGAACAGATGAACAGACAATTCCCATTAAGGCATGATAAGACAAAATTTTCTTTTGCAATTGATAAAGCTCATAAGCATATAAGCTGTAAAATCACTGAACATGGGTTGTTTGACAGTAAACAATCCAAGTAAACAGGATATCTGTGTGGGAATGTTCATGGTTTTCTTCATGTGTAATGTAAATACTAGCCAGTTTCTCTTAAAAAGTCCTCTAAAGCATCCCTTTGCTAGGCAGATAGTACTTACATGCTTTATCATAATGCAATCTAATATTCATTTATTAAACTGAAATGAATATTTTATACTAACAGGCAACAAAAAAATTCAGATTTTTTTAAGTTACCTATAGCTAAATTTCTATCTATTTCTTCTGTATCCTTATTAATAATGTGCCTAACAAACCAAAACATACAGTTACATCACCATTCCTTATTTTAAAATACATGCAATATACTTCAAAGCCAGTTCTATAACAACCAAAAAGAGGAACAGCTTTGAACTACATATTACAGGATTTTTTATAAGAATGAAATGTATGAAAGAACAGACATCTTTCCTAAGCAATGAACAGTAACACTTTATCAACTGAAAATAGCACTAAAATTCCTTTTCCAAATTCTTATGTAATATTTCTTAATATGCTATTTAAATATTATCTTTTCAGCATTTTTAATTAAAGATTATGTATGGACAATTGTTAATTCTTTCAGAAATGTTAACATCAGATATTAAAATTAAGTCATGATACAATGATGTATGCAAAAGTTCATATCCAACATGCTGAAAGTCTTCAAATAATAAACATTTCTTTCTACACTTAATTACTACTTATAAGTTCTGCTCTAGATTAGTTCTCTATAAAAAGCTTGGGAAATATTGTGCTTTCGGTATAATCTAGAAACCATTATTATATTATACACATCGGTACTTAAATATACCATATTTCTAAACTTAACAATTAAAACTTAAAAAACAAAAATAAATATTTTACAGTGTTGTACTAATATGAATAATTTCACCATTTTCACTTTATTTTTATTATAATGTTATGCATACTGCAGAAAAGTAATTTTCCACGATATAAAATAATTATTTAAATAATTTTACTATACTTATATAATCCACTTTAATGTGATACCTTATCAGAAAATTCTTTCAAGGCTTTGGCTTTATCTTCTTTATGTTCCTCATCTAACTGACTGCGAAGATCTTTTAAAAGTTTATCGTACCTTCTACTACAATCACATGCTTTTTTCATTTTATCATTTGAATCTTCTTTACTCTTTTCAGGCATCTCCACATCAGAGACTAAAAGCTATAATGTAATATAATTAACTCATCATATTAAAGATATTCCATTTTACTTCTTTCATTTTATGAAGCTAAAAATACCTTGAAATACAATTAAAATAAGTTCAATACACAGAATAAAATAAAAGACTGACAGACAACATGCTTGGCATTTTACAAATAATATCAATGCTCCAACTATTTACTAATGTATTAAAATATATTTTCATGACTATTCACAGTTTTATGGCTTTTATACAAAATTATCATTTCTGATAAAAATTACTTTTCTCAACTAGTTGGTTTGATGAAAGCAACAAATATTCTGACATCTTTTATTTTTTAAAGTACTATTTTGATTTTAAAAAAGAATAAAAATATAATAGATTTAAACTAGCGATACATTTTACTATTTTAAAACAAGGTACTTTACTGTTAACAGGGCCCTAGTCACTAAACGCGGTTAAGCAGTCGTTAAACGTGCATAATGCAATTTTTTTTTTTTTTTTTTTAATAAATTAAACCAAATTACTTCACATACATGGGAGAACAATTTCACTCACGTTATCGGTTTTCACTTAATCAGCTAATACAGCAATCGGTTTTTACTTAAAAGGACATCAAGGAATTGTGTGAATTCGACATCATGCACAGCCTAAGCATTGTATACATTATTTTTGATTTGTCTTTATTTTGCATTTATTCTGGATTTAATAAAATAGCCATTCTTTTCATTAAGCATTATGGTTGCCACCAACTAGTTAAATTTCACACCAGTACTTGTGTTTTCCTGTAAGCAGTGCCCAGTTAACAGGAAAGTACCTATAACAATTATATAAACATATGATTTTTATTTTACTAAAAGGCAATAAAAATAAAAACTTATATAAAAATTACCTTCTTGCATACATACAGAATATAAATAGTTTTAAAGACATTACAAAAAGGTAACGAACATAAAATTTTTACCTCTTCAGTTGTTTGAACAGCAACAGAGACATGAAAAACAGAAGTGTCTTGACTCGATGATGAAACTAAATTATGGTCCTCCGGAATTACATCCTTTGGAAAAACATCCAAAAAATTTCAGTATTATAAAAATGCACCAAGATAATAAATAATGGATAAATTTTATATTACGATAAATTTGCATAAGCTTTAGCTTTCAAAATATTTTAATCCTCACATTCAATATGTGAGGATTAAAATTCATAGCACAAGTTGCTTTGAAAGTTATGACTTTTCTCAATTCATATTTGCTAAAAACTATAGAATCAAATTTTAAAAAATTACATAACTAATACAGAATCAAGACAAGGTTTTCAAAATATTAATACTTATTTATTATTATTCCACCTGCTTCACCTCTCAATGGACACTACAGGTCAGTCATGTTATTCTGATTACTGCACCAGCGACCTTTCTTGGTTGTTTATCTTTTCAACCTTATTATTAATAAACAGATTTAACATTAGTGTATTACTTTTGTTGGGTGCTCCAACTTACAATGTTTTTATTATGTTAGCATAAAATTAGCAGAAAGAGTTAGTTTAGATATATTTACATATGAATAGACCCTTGCTACCTTTACATTTCGTCAGCTGCCTAAACCGGGTTATCAAAATATGAATATAAAGATCTTCATAATATTGTTACAAAATGCCCAGCCACGGTAAGGGTAAGATAGCTTCCCACAAAGCGTTTTTAGAATTGCCAGAAAATGGCAAAGGAAGACAAGGTTGCCAGATATGATGCAAAATCGGCCATTAGGCGACCTCTGGTGACAAAAATTGGCAATATGCCATAGACAAAGTGAAAACATTCTAGAACGAATTCTTACCAATCTGCCACAAAATGATCTCGAAGGCAGGCCAAAGTTTCACATTTACCCCCCCCCCAAAAAAAAAACTCGCATAAATTATCGTTCCTATTAACCACCACAATTCAACAACTGAAACACAACCATATAATTAACAACAAATTTTTTTAAAAAATCAAAGCCCAAAAAAATATTGTTAATAACACTAAACAATTTACTATGCCAAAACCTGGCCATTTTTAAATAACTAGACTAAAAAATCTGTCAATAAAATAACTAAAAATAAGACATATTTTTAACCAATTCAAAATAGAAACTGTACCTACACACAACAGTTAATAATCAATCAGAAAAATAAAAGCACCTGAGTTGATGAACTTTTTGGCGATGATGATGTAGGAGATTCTTGATAAAACTTTTTGTTTTTCTTAACAGGAACACCGACAGGCTTTTTAACACTTGCTGGTTTTACGTGCACAGAAGCAGACTTACGCTTCCGTGATGTTGGGATTTTTGATCTAGAGGAACTGTACGAATCCTGTGTTGAGTCACTTTCTGTATTGTTATTGTTCTCATTTAGTTTAGCAGTCTGTAATTTAGCATTTGAGGGATTGTTTCTTCAGGAACTTGGCAATCAGTTCCTGGTGATGGCTGAGTTCAGAATAAGCTCTATCAAATGATGCAGTTTTCTTAACATTTAATTTCTGATAACTAGTAGTGATAGGTTTCACAAATTCTTCATTGACAAGGGCCCTGAAAAGAAATTTAACATTAGAAGTGAAAAATAATTCAAGGGCTTATTTACTTACATTATATTTTGTACAGCAAAAGAAATTCATTAATAGTAGGATTGGAAATTTTACATACATTATTCAAAATTTGACCTGACTGTATGAATTTGATTGGATCATTGCAATTTATTTTATTGTAAATCAGTATGGATTTGATTGGATCATTGCAATTTATTTTATTGTAAATCAATCTTCTAAGTTTTTATAACAAAATAATTGAAATAGATCTAAGCTTTCACTGAAAACAGGTGCCTACAGGGGCAAATAAGGTAATCATGATAGGCACAGAAAACTTGGGTTAACATAATGTCACCTTCTTAAACCAGTCAATTTGCATGAAGATGGCAATTGTAAAATAAAAAGGTGCAACAAATTTTGTGGAAAATACAACTTAAATCTGTTCAATGGGATTTTCAGCAAAGTTATGAGGCACAGTCACCTGACTATTAGCAAAATCATCATTTAATATTAGTGTTACAAACAACCACATCAAAAATGATCCACAATATATGGATAGCACAAATTACCATTTTGATATCTGCAGAATGACCAGTGGAGCTTATACTGAAATTTACTCAAAATATTAATTTTTTTGGGGGGGGGGCAATATAAATTGATAAGGTACCTAAAATATCTTTTCTAAAAAAACTGTTTCAATTCAGATTGCCTTTTCTGATTACTGTGTTGTCTATGATGACTTCATATTGTACTTTTCTTAAAACTCTTAAGTGAAAACAATTTTTTCAAACTTTGTTAAGAAGAGAAACAATACAGAACTACATATATCTTCTATTTACAAATATAAACTGATCCATGTATAAGGCGAGAATGAGTTTCTTAAAAATTTACCCAAAATTCCAAAGCCATATATAAGCCAAAATGATAAAGATATTCCTGTAATGTTCAAACATGTGAGCATGTGGATGAACATGCTGCCAAGCAGGTAAAACAGATATTTTCCAATCAAATCCCTGTAAAGTAAAATACTAGACGCCAATGATAATAGTTTTAACTCTGATATCCCTATCTGAAGCTAGTACATTTTTTCCATTCATTTGCAGTCTTGTAAACTATCTGTAATATCGTGTTAGTCTTATTTTCCATGCCATTTAACTTTTTGTTTGGAAGATGAGTGATAAAAGAAATTCTCATATGGCACAGTTCAAACTACAGGTGATCATGGCTGTTGAAAATTCTAAGAGAAGCTACTCAGCATTTTTCATAAATGAAAAAGCAAGGTCAAGAAAAGAAAGCCAGATGCAAATTCTGTCAACATCAGATTTTTAAATAGCAAATAACTCCTTTTGTTCAAGATTAATTTTTTCCATAAACCTGAGAAATAAAAGAGGTATAATATTTGGTGATTTATCACTTGTGTCTGACTAAAGAAAAAGTACCTACTATTTTGAGAGATTAGCGAATCCGTATATACGCTGACCCCCAGCTTTAGGAAAAGTTCTAAAAATTCTCAGCTTACACATGGAAAAATAAGGCAATTAAAATCGGAAGGGGAGATGGAATGAAATATTCAAATAATTTTTTAAACAATAACAAAATAAGATTTAATACATGTACCTTTGATGAAAAGCTCCAAAAAAACGAACATCATATGTATTTTCATGCTTTTTGATAACTTTTGCTGGCCAATAAGGAAAACCTTTAATTTTTGCATATACCAATTCATGTGGTGGATCCTAACCAATAAAAAATGAAATGCACATGTAAAGTACCACTTATAGCAATAAAATAAAGTCATAAAATTGTCAAAAGCAAATTTACATTAAGGGCAGTCAGTATGTAAATTAATGAATTACATGAGCATGATGTAAGTTAAATGATTACTTATGTTTAAAATTAAATTACAGTAAAACCCATAAGAGTTTTGTAATCTTAAATAATTTTTTTTTTTTTTTTAATCTGAAAGCATTCAGATTTTACATTACCCCCAAAAAGGGCCTTTTTTTTTTATGTTTTGTGTGCTACCTTTATCTATTAAACATCATGTTCTTCATATTTAAACCATAAAATTCAATACAACAGCAATATACCAAAATAATTTTTAAATGAGCATATTTTTAGAATTTCCGACATACAGTCTCGTACATTGGAGATAAATCTCCCCCCCCCCCCGGTACAGCGTTGCTATTGCTCACTTTGAAATCGTTGAACTTCTTACTCAAAAATCCGTTAAAATGTTACCAAATATGAAATCGATAATAAAACAAATTCAAAATTCCAAACAGCGCTTCCAGATGCCCAAATTTGGTGGAGGAATACATTATTCAAAATTTGATGGTTCTAGGTGCCATTGTTTTATCATATTGAAAGAAACATATTTTTATGTAGATTCTTCATTATTTCATTTCTTTAAATATAACACAGTGCGATAATACTCAGTGGCAACAATTTGAAAAGTGAAACGGACATTTAACGTTTTCAATGCAAAACAAAATTAATAGCTCTTCTGGGCTAACGTCCTTTGGGCTAAAAATAGTACTGTATCTCAAAAAATGCATAATATTACATTTCACAAGTTTTTATTGAGCAAAAACTTGAATCACAGTACAAGTAACCAATTGTTAGACCTGTTGATTATTTATATCATACTACAACTTCTCTAACAATATATGACCTTTCATGATATAATAGCTCCATTTTCTCAATTTAAACTGGGTGAAAGTGCAAAAAATTTTAATGTGGAACTAATATTTTGGTAATTATTCTCATGAAACATATCATTTCAAGTTACAAATTGATGTAAAACCAAAATTTTATTTCATACAAACTTAAACATTGATCCATAACACTTATTTTAGTAACATAAGGAGATTGCCCTCCCATATAATATTATCAACATAAAATTTAAAAACTTATTCAGACAATTTTAAGAAGTACATAAAATACTCTTCTTTAAGATTTAGTTTTTTTATTCTGGATGCTGCAAAAAAAAAAAAAAAAAAAAAAAAAAAAAATCATTTTTAAATGTCTAATTGTTTTAAATGACCAGAAAAGTGACAACTTATAAAGCAAAGAATGAATCAACTGAAAATTTATCCTTTTACATAACACAAAATACAAAATAAAAAAGGCAGATAAATGTGAAAAATAATATGCAAATCAATACAAATGAAGTACACATCAGAATTTCCAACACAAACAGAAATACTTTTTAAGCTCAGAAAGTAACGGTTACTTACACATGGTTCACAAAACCAAGAAGGGTTGTGCTTCATATTGGACATTTTATAACAACTACGGCACTGGATAATTTCTTGTAAGTCATATTCACAGTCACCTAGCATTTGGCGTGCCATTTTAGCAATTCGACTGTGCACTGTTTTAAAGAAAATAAGAAAGTGTACATTATACTAGCAGTCAAAAATGTTTATTTATATTTCTATTTATATAATATTTATATTTACTAATGATTTATTTCATCATTCCTTATAGGAGCATCAGTGTCACCTATATTGGCTGAATCTCCCCCAAAACCAGTTTTTTTAGAAGAGGTAAGTTAATTAATATATTTTTGTGCTATGAAAACATTCACATGATAAACTTAATACTCTTGTACTCTTTTTATTTATTTCAGACAACTTCCCCAATTTACAGGTTACAGTTAATAAAAATAAAGTCAACAATAATATTCAGTTTTTCAATATCTTAATTTTAAGAAATGGCAATACTCTTCAGACTACAATCTAGCGCAAACCATCTTGGAATCCAGCAATAATTCCATTCCATTCTTTTTCATTTCAGCTGCATTAAACAGATGCTTTTTATTTCTACTTAAAATATGCCAGATTTCTGTTCTACTTTAGAGTTTTATAAAAGTGAATAAAAATACAGACTATAAATTTCAGAAAAACTAAAAAGATCAACAGACAAGCTTTTGCAATTATTTTTCGAAAAGTAAAGTTTTTATCTACACAAAAATCAAATAAAAGAAAATCTACTAGTACTTCCCTTTACTATCTGATCACTTCATGCATCAATCACACGTTTAAAAGATTTGGTTATAAATTTGGCAAATTCAGCCCCATCCATCTGTTGTTAAGATCAACACAAAGTCGCCACAACAGATACTTCAAATGTATATATTATCCTAATATGTATTGAAATTACAAACACAGAAAACTCAATATACAGGTTAACATCTAGAAAACTATCAGTAAGAATTCCTGAACATGGGGAGGGGGAGATATCTATAAACTCTCTCTGCCAAATCAGTGAAAATACAATAAAGTCCTAATTATCCAACCAAAATAGGCTGTGGCTTATCAGGTGATTAGGAATGTCAGATGACACAGAAAGTAACAAATACACATTTAATGCTCACAATATACATTCGTTATTTCAAAAATTACATACTAGTAACTTGAAAAAACTACAAATTTATATTTTATGTCAAAGAAGAATCAAACTTGATGAAAAAGCAAGTAACTGGCTTTTATTTGTTAGATGTTTGATGTTTTCACCCAGCTAGATCTTGCAGTTTCTGCAGAAATAAAATCAACTACTTAATGAATGAATAAATGATAGTTTTCAGTCAGGCAGTGTTTTGCTCGAAAACACTGCCTGACTGAAAATCTATCAAAGCTGCTCCAAGAAAAGTATCATCACTACCATACTAGAACCTGCAACCAAAGAGACTGACAGCAGCACCAATCCAGTGCGCAGTGGCTGCGCTTTAAAGTGAAACTCTTGCTCCTCCACCACTCCACTTCAGTTACATGATACGAATTATTCTTACAGCAACTGTAATTTACTTTGAATACCAGCAACTTTTAATTGTTGTTATTAACAAACTAATGGAATTACTAGACTACTAAAACACCATTACAGCAAAGAGAAAAAAATTAAATTGGCTCTGAAAAGAGCCTTTTGTGATTAAAATGTATCCAATTAATAAGTTACAAATAATACAAGAAATGCACATTAGCAGATTAGCATGACACCAACTTAGGTTGAATATCTGGAGTCGATCAGAAAACAACCAATGACTGAAAAGAAAGGAACGTGTGCAATTTTACTGATTGTATTTTCACAGCACAGCCGCTGTGAGCACTGTGGTTGCTCCAAAGTGCAAGTTTCTCTGATTAAAAAGACGATGCTTTACTTCCGCTCCCCCACATCCCCGCTCCCACTACCAGAGATGTATCAATGTAGCAGCCAACGTATATCAAGTCAATTCATTCAATTTAGAATGCTTTAGTTTTATTATTATTTTCATCATTTTGCTGAATATTTTATGTACGTTTATGGAACTCTTCAGAACACTCTGTGGACATCCAGGGTTCCATGAAACACAGTTTGAAGACCACTGCCATAAGCTAAAAAAGTCAGTTAAACAAAACGGTTAAAATATAGTAGCTATTTAAAGAACCCAAGATCATTTTAAAACAATAGCTCAAATTCAAGAATATTACTGAACCACAATAATAACTGTTGTTCACATTATGGCAAGGCAACGAAATTTACTCATACTAATGTTACACACGGAAGGCAGGGGGGAGACATGTGGCTAACCCATCTGCCAGAAATCAAACTTAAGACAACATTAATTACATCATGAAAAGGTCAGATGATATATAAGTGTATCTAAATATATACACATACATGTTATTGTGAAATTAAGGAACTAAACTTGGACAACACAAAAATAAAATAAAATTAACATATTTAAAATAATTTTAAAACATATGGGTTAAGTTTAAATTATGTAAGCAATTTTAATGAAATTTACATCAGATCTTTCTTAAAAATTCATTATAATAAAGCAAACAAGGATAGATGAAAAATGCTTCAACTTACTCCCAAAATATATTACAACATTGTGAACTATCTGTTGGGCATCTGTGTAGAAATCTCCTAATGAGGAATATTCATTAGCCTTCATTTTGTCCTCCATAGCAACTAAATCCATAGGTTCATATATAAGGAAATTATAACGCCATTTCTCATCATCTGGATGAGGTATTCGATGCAATTCCCTTGTCTGAAAAAAATTTTAAATATTTAGTTTGAAGGACAGAAATAATAGCAAATATATAATAACTATGTAACTAAGATCAACATACAGCTCTTAAACACATATAAACTTTAATAGATTAAAATATGAATTATTTTCAAACAATGCTACTTAAAAAATAATAGGAGGACTATATATTCATAACATTTTTAAGGAATTTTAAGATGCACAGCTTTAAAGCAAAAAATGAAGCTCTTCAGTATAAATAACAAGACATAATTTAAATTTTGTATCAATACTGGAAAGATAAAACCTAATGATAACTTCATCCTAAAAACAATCTATTGCACTCAGAAATATCTAACATTAAACATTTCGGTAAAAATTTGCAATTAGATGCCCCTTAAATTTTTAGCAATTTTTTTTTTTTTTTTTTTTTTTTTTTTAAATGCCAAGAAGCAAATTTTTTCAAGATTGCTCTCATCAGTCTTCACAATTATAACCATGACCATCAAACATTTCACTCTTTTTCATCCATACACACTTCTCTACAAAAATTCTTCCAATCAACGAAAGATTTATTCAAACTGACATTTACTTTATTTGTAAGCAGATTTTTCCAGGTTCATATACCTACAGATAGGACAAGAAATAAAATACCAATTATACTCATCTTACTTTCTTTGAACAATGTATCCTTTCTTACAGACCTCTTACACTGATGAGCATTCACATCTTTCTCACTATAAACCCACAGCCATCCAGTCGATCCTCCCCCTCATACAAACTGAACATTCATACCGAGAAATAATTAAACCTTCATTCAGACATCAATCAATAATAGATTTCTTAGCCTTTTGCTACAAATCATGAAAAAAATTATTACTTATCTTACTAGACATACTTCTTTGTAGAGGCGACAGAACAATGATCAATTGGGAACAAGCCATGGCCAATGGAAAACAACTGTCAATTAGTGGAAATTAAAATTTAAGGAATACTCTGACACAACTAAACAAAGCATCATGTAAGTGATCACAAGGTGAATCATGTAGGCCTTGTTTAGTGTGCACTGCACTTAAACACATGTGCACTACATTTATGCAATTAGATTTATATATAATGTAATATACCTAAATTGCTAAGAGGATCCACTCATGGAAAACTTAAAAAATACATAAGGTCACTTGACAAAAATTGGTTGCCATAACATTGGGGAGATGGTGCCCGAAACAGAGCCAATTCAAGTTACCAAAAATCTGGTACCAACACCAATATTTGGTGCCAATTCAAGGGGCATTCTCTTTTAGACTAGAACTTACAATTGCAAAGCTAAACAAATGTTATCATAAACACCTACATTTTAAAGCTCATTATTTATTTTGTTTACTGACTCACTGCTTTCTTATAAATGGACACAATGAACTTGACTTCAAAAGAACTAATTATTTTTTCTTTTACAGTTCATCAAGATATAATTCACAAGAGTGGTTCTGCTAATAATTCTTTCCACTGCCCTTTGGACCAACTTAATTACTAAGGAATTACCAACTTTTATTTTTTATTGAACTGTTGTTTTCTTTTTGTATTAATTTACTTTTATTTCAAATTTGATTAAAAGTTTTTGTTCAAACTATTTTTAATTTGTACTTTTAAGTTAGATAGTATAGTACTGTTGATCCATATATATTCTATATAATTTATCTTTCTTATATGCATATATAGGTAGCTACAGACTTTTCTTCCAAGCAAATTACACAAAGAAAACTTATTCCACTACCTGCTTTTTAAAAAGAAAATGAAAGAAAGAAGGGAAAAGTTGTCTATACTTAAATTTCAAATATGAATTTGAATTTACACTACCTGCTTTTTAAAAAAGGAAATGAAAGAAAGCAAAGAAAAGTTGTCTATACTACTGCAAATATGAAGACAAAATATAATCAAATTTAGCTTTTTATATTATCTGATTTCTTACAATGAAGAGGTCAATTGATTAGTAGGATTCAGAAATATAACTTGGTTTGAAAACTCTATATAGAAAAATATATACAAGATATAATTTCGTATTTGTAGACTATTTGCTTTTAGTCAGAGATGGCCCAATCAAAGGCCTGCATGGCAAGATTAATAAAATATTGCTGCTATTATCAGTCAATTACACATGTGAGCTTTTATTCATATTTTTAATCATCTTTATTCATATTTTTAATCATCATATCAAAAAATATTCCACAATTATTGAAAACATCAACATTACTGAAATTTAGCTTTATTATTATAAATGCATTATTGAAAAAAAAGGGGGAATTCAAAACAGCATTTTAAATTTCTTGCTTATTAATCTTACAAAATTCCTAAAAAATTTAACTTAAAATAACCTATTTTTATTATTATACAATACATTTCTAAATATCGGCTAAACAATTCATACTAGCAACACATTTTAATGGGGTCCTTGTACATACAGTAGTTGACTATCATTGTGCTTAATGGTGAAACAATGTACTAATTTAACTCTAAAAAAGCAGTGATGGTTTTATAATTGAAATTAATGTCAAGTCGATGCTATATTTTGCTCAATTTTTAAGGTTGTTGAGTTTCTACTTACATTTATTTTAATGCAACACCTTTTTAAGTTAATCAATTTCAACTAGATTATAAAGCTGCTAAAACTATAGCATAAGACTTTTAAATATTTAACATATCAAAATGAACATATTTAACTTAAATGCTGAATAGGTTTAAATTAAATAGCTGCTTGAAATTACAGAATGTGACTTTTGCATATTTAACATATCAAAACGAACATATTTAACTTTAATACTGAAAATGTTTAAATTATACCCACATATTAATAATTTATCAGCATAAAAATATATTAAGTGATAATTATCAAAATCAGGAAAACCAACAATAACATGCAAATTTTAAAATTTCCCAAATTATCAGATTTTCTGCAATTACAGACAAAACTGAAGAATAAAATATGTATGTCCTACAATGAATTACTACAATTACTTTTACAGAAAGCCTAATTAATCCCCTCAAAAATATTTACTACTACACATGGCAAAAACTATCATTTTAACAACAATTTTAAATTTAAATATTTGTCTATACAGCATTAAAAAATTTTTTTAAAGGTTTCAATGCATAATTAAAAAATTAAAATTATGATTTAAAAAAGTACACTCACATCACAGTACAATCTTGTTTCAATGATGTACAGTACATAATAAGTTTGTTTTAGTTTATTACTATTAATAACTCTTTAATGTAATATTGCATTTGAAATTAACCATATGCATAAGTGTTACAGGCATATAGCAGATTAGTTGGCCAGCTAATTCTGACAAAGCACTTGTGAATTAACCATCTAAGAGAAAGTATGCTTGGAGAACTTTTCAAAGAGAATGTTAGTATTTACCTTATTAAAAAGGAAACCGCAAAAGCACCATGCAACCAGCCTATTTAGGCACCAGCAAACGAACCCAGAAGAACTATGGCTTTAGCTACTTGGCCACTGGCAGGCCTCAGTAAACCACAGAAGCAAAAATAAACTCTTTTAGCTATTGATTTTAAATTCTATATGACCTGAAATATCTTTTAAAAGGAACATGTTAAATATATACCTTTTCTTTTAGTCTTATACATGTGAAACCTAGTAAAATGTTCAATTCAGTTTTCTTCAAATCCAAATAAAACTTCTCAGAATTCTGCTATGAGAAACAAGAATTAGATGCAACAAACAAGATGTTGCCAAAAAAAAGCATAGTTTAAAAAAAGTAATATTTTGTAGACAAAATAAATTAAAAGATACTATATATATGAAGATTAAACAAAATCTTTATGGTAATTAATTACAAGATAAATATATGTATACGAATTATTTTAATACAAAAGCAGATATATACAACATACTTTACAAACAGGGCAAATAAAATTTCCAGAATTTATATCATCAGTTAGGCAAACTTCATGATAAACTCGGTGACAAGAAGTGCATAAGATAACTTCTCCCCCTCTGTGACATTCAAAGCAATACCAATCATGTCCATCTTTTTCCTTAAAATAAAAATTTCACTTTCATTTACAGATTCATTCTATAATACAATCACTATAAAAATTATTGGTACTTACATATTATACCCCTGACCGTGAAACTGTAAGAAGAGTGATTTAGCATCAATTATACATAAGTCTGATGTAATAACAACTTACAACATCTGCGCTTTCTTTGGAGTAACCCAGATTGGTCCTTGATAAGCCAGGTTTTGTTTTTTATAAACAAAATTATAAATTAACTGTTACTGACATATTTTTGTTGCATTAAAAAATTATTAAAATCCAGAATCTGGCTTCTGCAGAACAGTAAGAGCTTCGAGTGAAATCGGAGGGCTAACAAAATAGTAGAAACCAACGAAAGCCTTTTTTACGAAGCTCAAAAACAAAGTGGGACAAATGCTGTTTGTCTATTAGATGAAGAAGTATTAATTCCTTCTGAATTCTGCAGGACAAAAATGGTGCAACTTTGGTAGAATCTCTGCCAACTTCTATAATAGCTAACATTCATGTTGATGAAATAATTCAGCAGTACCAAATTATTCAAGTAATTTCAAAGGATTTTGGTCTTTTGTAGTACTAGTGTTTTTAGAAAAGTAATGCACAAAATATCCGTTTATATTCTCAGAAATTCTGGTCACTTTCAGAGACGGGCATCTTAGAAAGGTGGTTGCACTGAAAGAGTTTTAACTGCATATGTAATCTAAGTTCTGACATGACAAAAAGCTACTGGAAAAATTAAAATAGTCTCCTTCTGTTTCTTTGATATTTAATAATATTTTCAAAAGAAATAAAAAAATGGCAAACCAAACATATGATAGTTAACGTCTCCATAAAATTCTGATAAAGAATAAGACAAAGTACTGTAGTAATTAAATACAATTCAATGAAAAAATCAAGTGAAACTCAGAAAATCACCAAAATACAATTATAAGTAATTAAAAGCAAGTATTAAGTTAGTAACTTATTAGCCTTCCAGCACGCTCGCTTGGCAATTTTACATGAGCACGCACGCGTCATATTTTTTACGACATCTGTTATTTTACCATTTTTGGCAAGAAAAACGACAGAAATGAGAGAATATTGATAATAAATTTATTAAGAAATAAAATATTAATCCTATTATTGCAAAATACAAATGATATCACATTCAAATAAGTAAATTATTTTTAAGTTATTATGTTAGTGAGATGGAAATGCAATGACGTATTTTATTATAGAAAATTTTTAATTTATTATTTAATAATTATATTTTAAAATCAAAGACAATTTAATATTCATCAGAGGCAAGTATAGACAATAAAAAAGGAAAACACCTTGGAAGTAAAAAAAGTAAGTTTAGCATTACTTACTTCTGCAAAGAAATTTAATTCTTACTGGTTGCAAAAATGCACTTTAAACTATATTTTTATTTATTTCTAAAAAATAGAAATAAAAGAAAATAAGGAATGAAAATCGCTATTGTTCTCCCATTCAAAGGTTTCCTTGTCTTTCTTTTCTTCATCAGATAATTCTTGAAGAATGCGAGCAAAATCAGCTGGTTGCACATTTTTTTGCCATGAAAACCGATATAAAATTTACTGAGCCAAATGCATTCAAATTAAAATAACACATGGCAATTAAACACAAAATATTTAAGAAAAAAAATATTTTCCGAATTTTCATCCACGACCGTGCGTGTGTCATAACGTTTACGAAAAAGCTGCCACATAAGCACAAAAGCCCAGTAAAAAAAATCAAATGACGTCCTGTTGGCACATTCCATAATGTGAATAAAGGTAGAAAGGAGGAATAAAAATGACCTTCAGACGTCTCAGCTTCGATATGCGAAAAATGTGCATTAAAAACTGAATTTGTCATCAATTTTGCGCATATGCGCGTATGGAAGGTTAAACAAACTATCCCACTAAGAACCACGATATGAGGGGCCTAAAATATTTAGGATATTCCTTGAAAGACAGAAAATTAACTTTTATGAATGTAGACATACATTTCCAGTAAAATAACAAATATTTTTTAGAAGTAGATTATGGGCTCTAATGTTATTGAGGGAAGGCATTTATCACATTTCTCAAAATTCTGTTTTTAATACCATAACAGTACTTACATACTATTGAAACCAAACCATCTTCGCACAATCTGGTGATTTTTTTATGGATGAAAATGTAAAAGTTACTTAGCATGTTCAAGCTGGTGGTTTCTGTGCCTTCTTTTTTAGAAAGACTCCCAAACTATCAATATTCATAGTACGTTTGGTAAACAATATCAACTTAGGAAAGGAAAACATACTTTAACAATTTAAAATACAAATTTGAATTATTAAATAAGAATTATGTCATGCATTAAAAAATAAAACACATTCTTCTTCAAATCTTTCTGTAATTTTTTTCGTTACTCTTCTCCCGAAGTTCATAGCGATCTATTTTCACTTTTTAAAAAAATCAGAGAATTGTGGAGACTTGGCTTCATGCAATCTTTGGGAACAGCGGCTATCAAGAAAACGAATTTCCTCATTGTTCCCTTTACAAATTCTTTTCATGGGAGACAGTCTACTTTAGAATCAGTTTTCAATTGAAGATAAGTTATAGAAAACTAATTAATAATTATTAAAATAAATATTTTATTACTCTATTGTTTAAAAAACCGTAATAAAATATTAAAAATTCATTGTATTTCACAGATGAATCATCAGCTAATTATTCAAAATTTTGCTCTTAATTCACATTTACATCTTAAGAACAATGAATTACTATTTTTTATTTTAATAGTCATTAAATTAACATGATTTTTTTGTCTTCTTTAGTAAACAAAGTAACTTTTTGTGGAAATCATGATAAAGAAAAAATATATATCTTCATGACATGTACATCTGTTGATATACTGCATGATTTTACCTACTTTTATTTCTTCAGGTACACGGTAACCATCTTGCTCAATTCCAACTTTTGAACCTTTGCAACCAACACTCTTTTTTACACGTATAAGTCCATCGTGAATAGCAAATTTTAGTTGCCGCTCTAGATCTGTTTCATTTAAATTGTAAACTCTTTTCATATAAGCTGCCAATCTGTCAAAATTTGGAATCTGCTTTTGCTGCCGTATATAAGCAATAGCATCCCACAAATGTAAAGCAGTTTGTGGACACCCTTGTCGTCTCTTGACAGCCATTGGTTTAGTTATATTTTGATTACAACCTGAAAGTTGGTGGTATATTACAATTAAATAAATAAATATTATACAACTAAACACAATATCAAATAAAAGAACTTTAAACAATATATACAGTACTAATTTTTTTAAATAAATCTTGTAATTTATCAAAATAAAACACTGCATTTGCTTAAATCAAAATGTGATACATTTCTAGTCTGGAATTTTTTTATACTCTTTAACAAATGTAATGCAATTCAAAAATGTAATCAATATTTAAATTCCACAAAGACATACTTGTAACAAAACTTATATTATAATGGAAAGAAATGCAAGAATTAAAAATATTACAAGATAATAGCAATAGAATTTTTTTTTTTAAATATATCTCCTGCTAAATAATTACATTTCTAAAATTATACCAAAATAAAACTGATTTTACTAAAAATGCAATAAAGACATCTATGTGATGATGAAATTCCACTTGAAAAATGAGACTCACAAAAAAAGTTATTATTATACTGATAGAATAAATATTTCAAATAGGGAACATTTTATATTCCAAGTGGGGGAAAATAAGACAAACTTTCATTTCCATAGCTGAACTTTAATCCTGTGTTCATTTCAGATTTTATTTTGAGTTCTCTTCCACAGAGCTAGCTATAACTTAAATAATACACTACAGCATGCATATTCTTCTCTACAGTTAAAAGTAACTTACCCTGTTAAGAAAGTCAAGGCTGTGTTAATTTTTTCCCCCCTATATCTAGGTACAAAATTACAAAGAACTATAATCTTACAAACTAGAAACAGAGGTTACAAACAATAGAATTAACTTTCAATATGCTATTGGTTGTAAGACTCTGTTGGTAGATGATGTAGTCATGTCAAATTTCAGTGATGTGGTTAAGTGTGTATGTTCCATGCAAGAGGTTGTAGGTTCAAATCTCAGCTTTTTAAAATTCATGGAAAAGGTATTATTATTAAAATAAATACTGAAATCAATAACAAATAAATATTGAATAATGAGATGCTCAATTAACAATAATTCCCTCAATTAAAAATAATTACATATTAAATAATTAAAAATACTAAAGGAAAATTAATTAAAATTGATGTCCTCCCACACACGTGGTTCAAGAGGTTATTGCCGCAAAAAAATAAGGGGGGGGGAATTGTGGTTGGCACAAAATGAAACTTTGAAAAAGCATTACGTTGTTCAAACATGTCTCTGTCACTTCTGGCAGTCTTATATGATCTAAGACAGGGGATGATGATGTCACTTCTGGCTGTCATATGATTGATCTAAGATAGGGGATGATGATATCACTTCCGTTACCACACCCCTCTAGATATTACCATTTTCATCTCCTAGTTACTTGCAGTTACTATTGATTTATGCATTCAAGACTACAAAACAAATTATTGCATACAACAGAAAAAAAAATATATTGTTCTATTATTATATGCTGTACTGTGTTGATGATGTAAAGTCAAATTTTTTATAATTAACTCATTTTCTATTATTGTTCTTTCTGAATAAATACATTAATTTTCTGTTTTTATTATTATCAAATGAAACTGAGTTCTTAAATTCATTCAAACTCACAAATGTGAAAAGTCCCCCCCCCCGTCCTATCCACTAGCAAAATCGAAATTGAGTCAATGGCTAGGCGGCAATTAGTAGCCAACCGCTACTTTAACCGTCTCTGTTGGTAAATTACCCTAAGGCGTTGGTACTTAAGTTTTTAATTAAGGCGATTTACACCTCGCCAACTAGGCGAAACTTGTCAAATTTTGTGAAATGTAGGTGGAGTGGAGGGAGATGATTGGCAGGAGCCTGTCACGTGGGTGGTCACCCACCCAAGTTCAGACTCCGAGCAAAGCAGCTTACGCGTGCAATGAGAAATATTGGATATATTAATAATTATCAAGTTTTGAAACAGGTTATCCAGATTGGAATAATTAAACTAATATCGCGATCTAAATGAAGACAAATGGCACAACTAAGTGCAACAGATCAGCTAAACAAAATATTCAAATTCATCCTTGCTGTAAAACACAGATTGGACAGTGGTAGTCGCGTGAGGGTCACCCTCCCGTGAACTGTCCACAGCCAATGCATCTTGAAATAGTAGATATCACAATTCAGTGAAGTCTTGATCTGAGAAATTAAACACTAAAGTTCTTGTACAACACTAAGGCACATGAGTTACTGAAACTATACACTATGTACATATAGGGACGGCGGTATTTGAGCGAAGTAGCAAATGGTGAAAAACATTTTACACTAGCAATAAATAATCAAAGCTTTGAAGATCCAGGTACACGGATCATGTCCGTAAGTCCACAATTATCCACTAGCAGGCACTTAGCTAACTTAGGCTTGGCCACTACTAAGACTGGAAGTGGTGGCCACTTTATTGTGGATGCACCTAATAGGTGGGCCACTATTACCTCCTATAAAGGAATGGACAATTAGAGCCATACCTTCTCCGGGATTTGAACAGCTATGTAGATTAGACTAAATAAATAAACAATAAAAATACTTGTAACATAGCTGAATTCAGTAGGATTAGAACAAATTTTCTATTCTTTTGAATTTATCTACTCTAAGCTATAAAATAAGATTATTGTGTGCAATAGCAAAAAATTTTGTGTCTTTATACATTGTTTTTACTGTGATGTAAATATCCTTTATAATTTCCTTTTTAATTCAATTTTGTTTTCTATTCTTTCTAAATAATCATATTATTTTGTTATTTTTGCTGTTCATATGAACAGAAATTCAGTTTCAGAATCAGTCTAAATCCACAGCTGTGAAAGCAGATCTCATACATACACACGAAATGCAAATATATATACCACCAAAAAATGCCACCACAAGCATATAAATATGTTATGTTGTCAAAAATGAAAATATTTACATTAGGCAATACAACAATGTGATATACGAATAAACTATAATAATATAAATAAATTTTTTAAATAGTTTCTTCTGTTAGAGAAAACACCAGTTCCTTCCATCCCTCCCCCCCCCAATTTTTCTCAAGTAGAAATTGACCAACTACAGAATGCATGCAAAAAAATGTGTATCAATCTCATAAAACTGTTAGAAAACCTGATTACAAAAGGTATGAAGAAATAAAAATTTCTATCACAAAGAACCATTCTAAAACAGAAGCACTTTTGTGAAGTCTTATATATATTCTAATGTACTGAAAGCTTCATGTTAAAACTGAAAAAGATTGCTTACTGATGTTAAACAGCAGTTTTGAAGCTTAATATCACTGCATTAAATATCATTCACAGACAATTCAATTTACAAAGAACTATTTGCATGGCAACCTTAACCATCTTCTAAGACACAACTTTCATATTACAATATATTTATTGTTAGGAAAAATTACATAGATGCATATTTTAATGGAAGTATTCAAAGTGCTTTAAAAATAGAATGCATTTCATTTAATTCTTTGAAAAAAATTCACAGCTGTAACTTTTTATCAAAATAAATATAAAATTTTAAATAACATTATAATAATCAAACTTAATTAGAAATTAAAGTATGTAACTTTAAACATATCAGAAACTTTTGTAATATATACACACAAAAAGGACAGATAACTGCACTTGACAGGGTATTCAAAGTAGCTTTAGTATTCAAAGTGCTTTAAAAATAGAAGGCATTTCATTTAATTCTTTGAAAAATTTCGCAGCTGTAACTTTTTATCGAAATAAATATAAAATTTCAAATAGCATTATAATAATCAAACTTAATTAGAAATTAAAGTATGTAACTTTAAACATATCAGAAACTTTTGTAATATATACATAAAAAAGGACAGATAACTGCACTTTAATAACAGCTAAAATGTAAACATAAAATTTTAATTTAATTCATTTTGTAAATGTCAGGATAAAAATCACTTTTGTTGTAAACTATGATACACAAATCATTATAACTTATCATTTCTAATTAAACTCACTAGCTAAATCAAGTGGTGCCTTTAGAAATGAGGCAAATGTCAAAAATTCTAACAAAAAACACAGATACTATCTATTTCTAAAAATTCAAATTAATTTTGAATGATTCCTTCTAGATCTCAATTTCCTCATACTACCAGCTTTCCTCTGATAGTTGATATGTAAAATTAAGCTATAATCATCTATACCAATAATAATAATTGAAAAAAAATGATTTCTCTCACAATGAGAATATTCATGCATTATTCAACAGTTCATATTTCAGCAAGCTTATTTTTGATCCCCCCCCCCAAAAAAAAAAGACTTGCACATCTATTTTCAGTAACTGAACTTTTATATCCGCACTTCTTGGAAATCAAATATTCCAGTAATTACCATGGCATTCATGTTCAAATTCTGACAAAAAGGGATAATTTTCCCAGTTACAGACTACTTTATGTTTAAGTTTTGGACTTCATTTCAGTTATTTTTTAACAGAAAATAAATATTTTATATAATACCATAATAACAGACATACTTTAAATGGATATTTTCTGGATTTGTTTAGTAACATGATTTTTGTCATTCTTAAGGACTTCTGGAATAAATGATATTTTTCATCTCAACTACTTTAATTCTCTGGCTCATTAACACAATATAGTTAGTTTTCAAACATAATTAGTTTATAAGACCTTGCAACAAAGAAGTAAAAACAAAATAGTCTGGAACTATGTCGTTAAGGAAAGAGTTACCTTTATGGAGAATTTCCTACGAAAAATAAAATATTTATAAAAGAACTAATAACCAGTCTTTTATCAAGCAAGATCTCTATTAACTAAACCAGCATTTTAAAGAAAATAATTATTTAAAGCAATCCCTGGTAATAATGTCATTAGAAAGAGAAAAACAAAAACCAGTTATATTTTAAAATTCTCCTACCAATAATTGATTTTTTCCTCCTAGTTGGTCACTTAATTGCATTCTTATTGTGCATTATGATAAAAGCATCTGGTTTACAAATATTAAAAATTAAGTCAGAATAACACTAATACTAACAGATTAATAGTTAGACACCAACCAGTGATAAATTCATAGGCATAATTCAAAAGATAAAAAGATACAAAACAACAGTCAATATGAGCTTCCAGAGCATAAATGCAAAAAACAATGAACCAATTTTGAGTGATGAAGAAATCATTCGTGCCACAGATCCTGAAAACAATAAAAATTGCAGTGATGAGAATAATGCTGGGGATGACGATGAAATGGAAAGAGATAATGTGAAAACTAGCCATGCTAATGGATTTTGTGTTGATCAAATAGTGGCATATGGTGGCTGATAGCTATGGGATTACAGCAAAGAAGAAGAAGAGATTTTTAATGCCTGCCTCATAAAAATGACTAAGAAATTTGATGAAATTTTACATTTTGCATAAATTTTGGTGGAGTTTGTCCCAGTTTTTTTAAGAATATTTTTGTTGAAAAATAAAATCTTACAAGGATTATTTATTCACATCAAGAAAACAAGTTCTACTCATGAAATAATTAAGATGTTAGTGATAGTACTTGTTCATTTATTTTTAGAATTCAAAAATTTTTTCAGAAAATCTTGTCTAAAGAAAAATGGACATGATTTCATATTTAGTCTTTAGTAGCTGAATTTTTCAATAATCTGAGGTGGTTGCAATCCCAGTTAGCTCAGATAACTAATGTTCTACCGTACTTCACACATACAAAAACATATTTTTTTAAAAAAGAAATTCATGAAAATCCTATACAGTCAGCCTACCCTGTCAAATTTAGGGTACAGTTAATTTATTTAGGACATAACTTTTTCTGTCAAATTTAGGATGCTTTTGCAGTCTAACTAACTAAATTTAGGATGCTAAGCCACACAACCACTGGTGGTATATCATTCTCTAATCACACAAAAATTATTCTTCATTTTTTATTATTAATTCAGCTTTTTGACTACTAAAAAAAAAAAAGAAATTTATACATTTTTAATAAAATTTCCATAAAGAATTTAATAAAAGCAAATGTTTTAGAACAAAATTTTTTTGTCAACACATTATTTGAAATAAGAAATATTGACTGCTACTGTTATTCTTTAAAATGTTGCAAGTAAACAAGCTGTGAATTGAACGATATGTTTTTGCCTTTCTGAAGAGAAATATTCCTATTCCATAATTTAAAAACATAGTGAAATGGATGGTACTAAAATTTCTATGTGCAAAATAAGCAACGTTATTAAAAGCCATCAGTCATTACTTCTACACGGAAAGGAGACTACAAGCATACACCCAAAAAAGGTATTTACCGTTTCTAATGTTTTTAAAGTTTAATCATTAGTAAGAAGAGAAAATCTGCCGGTTTAAAAATTAATTACAAAGTCTGCAACTTCTGTAGCAATAATAAAAAAAAAAATTATATATCAAGATTTAAAACTTAAAAAAAAAAAACTAATGTTCACCAGCTTTTGCCAAGGCAGGTGGCTCGATGCAGAATAATTTATAGAATCCAGTATGAAAACTGTTTAGCAGGAAATAAATGGAAATACATTCTGACCTTTGATTAAGCATGGGTTTAACTAAATGACTGCAACAACAACAAATCAAAAGGGAAGAGGAAAACAATTATACAAACCTGGTTTTGTCAACACAAAGAAAGTTTCAGTAAGGGGTTTATGATTGTGACAGAATTCTCTTATATAGGGAAATTAAGAAGTGTGGGGGAAAAAAAAAGTGTTAAAAACATCAAGAAAAAGTTTGAAGTCCAATCAGAAGAAATTCCATTCCTTTATCCAAATGACTTGAAAGAGTGAAATGTCTTCAAGAAAAATAAACAAGTTCTACTTCAAAAATACCACTGCATTCCTTACAAAAATAAAGATTACAGATATAAGTATTGCCCATACACCTTTTCCATGCATTTCTACGAAGCCCTAACATTTCATCTACGAAATACTGTGCCTCTAGTCTCCTGAAAAGAGCTCTTTTTAAGCACAAACTCATGACCTATGGACATTGGAAAGTAATGGAAGAAGAATGGAAATCAATACCCCTGGAAATTTCAAGAAAAGATTTTCTATTGTGGAAATCATGGTTCCAGAAAAAAAGGATATCAGATGAAATATTTAAAAAAATACTTTTTACATTTTTAAACATTAGTTAAATGGCCTTAAAAATCATTCTAAAAATGTGTAAACACCCTTTGTACAGTTTTCAGCAGTAAATATGATAAAAATGAATAATAACACACTCTAATCAGAATTTTTAACATTGGTGCACTTTTTAATAAACTATACATCATTTTATAACATCCGTTGTCAAGTGCATTAAAAAGTCATCATGCTTTTCAAATTATTTACTTTACAATTTAAGAATTTATGTTTCAGATGTTGACAGAAATTAATTCTCTTGAAATTAAATCTCTTGTTCATGTCAATAACCATTCCATGCTTAGAGCACCAATTCTTGTCCAATCACTGATGTTCTTTCAGACTCCAGCCCCATTTTAAAACAAAGTATAATAATATCCTAATCTACATAAACTCAAAGTTAAGTGGTTTCTTATTTTATTCACATATTTAATGCTTGCAATTAATTTGCATTTGAAATTGTCAGTAATTCAGAAAATGTTCATAAACAAAACATTATTCGATATATTAGAACTATACAGAACTAATATTCATCAAAGCCTAATAATTTTATTATGAACTGAATTCTTGGATGAGTTTGTTCCAAGTTATGAAGCTAACAGCATCGAAATACTTTGTATAGCCCATTAATTTTTTATATTGTGTTTAATATATATATAAGCTGCATTTTTATTACATACATTTCTTATAAACAAGAGTTTTCGCTCTTATTTAACTAAAATTTATATGTATTTATATGCAAAGTTAGATCCTGACTTGCATATTTTTTTTTTGGTCGCGCTTATCACATAACTTTGGAGTTTTCATATATATAACATACCTTATTTATACTGTAGTATTTTAATCATTGAGCTTCGCAAGTCATGTGCGATGACTTTTTTATGTAAGAAACATACTTTACAGAATTAGTTGCATGCCTATATTTTAATAACCATTCTAATAAGATTATGAAACAAGCATTCCCAATTTATATATCTGCAGTCATTATTCTTATCATTTTATAACCAATTATTCACTATATGTATAGTTTCTGCCAAAGCAAGGGAAAAAATTAATTTAGAAACTACATTTATGCTTATTTTTAAATAATTAACACCTGTATCAATTTTAAAACTAATGGCTGAACAAAATGGTTACTAAAACTACATATCTGTTACAATTTTAAAATTAACTAAATCCCAAATGCTGAATAAAAGTTAACAGTGCATAAGTGCAAAACTAAATAGCAGACTTAAAAAAGATTACCAAGTTTAAAAACAGAAAAGCTGAAGCATATTTATTTTCAAAATCCAAGAGAAACAAAGCTAAATTTTCACTTACATGCAAAGAACACTGGTTTATGCTTGCGTCTAATCTGTTAAATAGCTATTATTCACAGACATCTATGTGAAAAATCTGGAAAATAGCATGCATTCTGCTGGTAGAAGGTGAAAAGAAATACAGCCAGTGCAAAAAAGCTTTCAGTATAAGACCCATATCTACTCACTGAATTTTTGTTTCGGGTTTCGTTTTCCAGAAAGTATCTGTAAAGCTTCATTATATCGCCTCTGAGTTTTGCCTCTTGGTCTCATCAATGATAACAGTTAAGTGAATGTAACAGTAAACACATTCTTGAAGCTCAAAAATCAAAGAAATAGAAGGAATTTCTTTAGTTTAGAAGTAATTAGACACTGAAAGTAAAAAGAACAGTAAAAAGAACATAAAAAAATTACTAATTTGAAAGTATAAATGGGATGAATACAGCAGATACTTTTCTTAAAAATACTTAAGTATTAGCCAACACTCCAGTGCGCAATGCCTTTTGGCAATGAAATATATTTCTGACATCAGCAGATTGATTAAATATATTTTTTAATTTCCAGCATATACTGTTAAGCAGTCACCATAAAACAGATTATTATTCTCTATAATCTATCTCTGCTTCCATATGAACTCTGCTAAGGCAAATTATTTCCCTTAAACCAATTCCAGTTTCTAGTCCTTATTCTGACATTTTGTCAGTTTTCACGTTATATTTGCATCATACATCTTCTGTTATGCACATTTTCATTGATTGAGAATTGGAGCAATCATGATTTTTTGGCTAAATATCATAAATGGATGACCAGAAATAATGGATTGCTTTTGCTTTATTTCCAGCAAGTTTAATAAATGAACAATGCAAAATATAGTAAAAATTAACATGAGATGATTAAGTATTATCCCTATAACTTTCAAGAAATTCATTATCTGATACAAGACTGATTTGAACTTGCTAGAATTGGTCTACAGTTGATATTGATTTAAAAAAAAAAAATAGATTCCTACAATCACTTACCCCCTCCCCTAAAATGCATCTTTCTAAAAAAATCTGAAACAGCCTGTAAGGTTGTGGCAATGCTTGCAGGAAATTAATCAAGGCTGATATACTTAGTTGGCAGTGCATCAGAGGGTAATGGGTAACACCCAAGTACCTTTAAAAAAACTGCCATTACGAATAGAAATGTTAATCTATAATAAGTTAATCTTTGTAATGAAATTCTAAAAAATATTGATTACCATAGCCATTATTTAAAAAAATTAAATAACTCCATATGTACAATAATAAACCTATCTGAAATACTAGGTAATGAAAATATTTTAGTAGAAAACTAAGAAAGAGGCAAATTTCAACTGTACTTCCTATCAGAATGAGAACTTTCTCACAGATTATCAATGCACATGAAAAAATGATTGTTTAACAAAATTAATTATAGATACACGTTAATGAAATTAAAAGCTTTCATTAACATGTATCTATAATTAATTTTGTGATAATATAAAATAAAGGAGTCCGTATCCCATCAACCACAAAATTGACATAAGTAGCCAAGCAGCCCAATTAGAGCTAATTATGGGTAAGTGTGACATAACACACTCATATCATCTATGCTTTAGTTTGATACAACCCTGACTGATTCTCAATAAATTAACTTTTGGTTTTTATGAATGAGATTAACTGTTACTGCTGCATTTTTTTCCTGCATTTTGGTTGCATATGGTTGAGGGTTGTAAAATCATATTTGTGGTTCCA